ATATTTGTTCAACCCAATGGAAATGTACCAGCTCTGCCATGTGGAGAGAATTCTGTTGGAAGAATGTCTTAAGGTTTTTTATCATACCATCACAGAAAATACATAGAGGAAAGGGTACTAGCTGCTGGAGAATGTGTGGGGAAAAAATAGCTAATCATTATCATGTTTTTGGGATTGTCAGAAATTAACCCCATATTGGAAAGAGATTAAAATACATCTAGATTCCATTTTTGAAGTAGAGATTGCCTTTACCTGTGAATCTTTATATTTAGGTAATATAAATTTGGATGGATGGATTAATAAAGACAAGAAATTGCTATTTATTCTTTTGGCAGCTAGTAAAAAAGTAATCACAAAAAAATGGTTAAAATTAGAGTCACCTACAGTTGAAGAATGGATTGGTACAGTGCACACTATATATGTCATGGAAAAACTATCGTTTTCATTAAGAACACAAACAGAATACTTTTTTTCTAATTTAGAGTAAATGGACTGAGTATATTTCACCAATATGCCCGAATTTTTCTTGAATTGTAACCTAAATGTAACATTGTATAAATAAGTATGTTTTCTTCTTTAAAGGAAAACTTTTAAAGGACTTGTAGCTCCCCATGTGTTACTGTTCATAGTTGTTCTTCTAGTTAAAGAGAAGAAAATACAAAGCATATACAAGATCTGTAAGTCTCTTTCTGTATGAGAGAATATGTAAGATATATATGTATTTTCTTCTGAAAACTCAAAATAAAAAATGAAAAAAAAAAAAAACTTGATCAAAAATCAGTGAAATGTAAAGAGTAGTGAAGTCACTCAGAACAAATGACAGACTATCCTAAAATGGCTGTTTACAGCCGTCTGGCTTGGAAAGAAAACATTTTAGACAGAAACATTTCACCACAATTAGCTTTGAACAAGTTGTCGCCTTTAACCAAGAGGTATTCACATAAGAAAATAAATATGTTTTCAAATATAAATACTTTCATTTACTTCAACTTCTAATTTAATTAAACAATTTATTTATTACACATTTAAAAAAAAAAAACCTGACAAAAAAAAATAAATAAAAAAAAAAAAAAAAAAATATATATATATATATATATATATATATATATATATATTTTTTTTTTTTTTTTTTCAAAAATAAAAACAAATACTATAAATACAAATGTGGCCTTTTTATATATTGTTCAGAGCATTTGTACAAAAAAACAAAAACAAAGTAATTTAAAATTAATATTTGCCTAATTATTTTCTAAGAAAATACAGTAAATTAAAACATTAGAAGTCTTTATGTAATGACTGTCAAATTAAGAGTAAGGAATTCAATTCTTTACTTAAGCCCTGGTCAGATTACACAATTTAGGCACGATTTTTTTAAAGTACGGGAGTCCCAGAGATTCATAAACGACAAATAGACGTCGAGACACAAGATTCAATCTTTTCTTCTCGTGTAATGTGGCATAGTTCACGACAACTGATCCCATGCCTGCGACACCTCATGACACCGTCGCAGAAAGTCTAGCATGTTTAATCTTTTCTCGTTCTTTACTACGAGTTCCAACACGTGGGTCACACGGCCCAATAGGAGCACATAATTTATAAGTTATTTTAGTGGGTGCTGCTGTTAATGACCTGGTCAGGTAATAAACAAACAGACTGCATATTTACAGATGGGTTGGTCACGGGTGGATATGACCAGTCTATGACTATGCAAACTTTAACTACTTTCTTTAAAGTATTAAAGTGTTTTAAGCAATTTTATCTGACAGACTGGCACTAATATGCCGACATCTCCATTCTGAGTTCACTCTTCCAGTGGCACCAGCAGATTTTAATCAAAGTTATCCACATATCCAGCACCACCCCGCCCCATCATCATCCCTTATTTTTATTTCAATCTCAAAAAAAACAATGATGCTGTCAAAGGCTACATTTATTTGATCTCACGAGTGAGACTGAGAAAATGAAAGCACATCATTGTATTTTAATAATTTAAATTATTAATTACAATAATTAATAAATATAATAATACAATATAAAATTAATAATTTGGCTACTTTTAATATATATTTTTGTTGGTCAGTTATCTACAAAATAAACAAGATTAACCTCTGAGGCGAAGTGCTTCAAAACCAGTCCGCTATAGCCTATGCTTCAGCTCCTGTTTTGTTAAAAAAAATAATAATCTAACGTAAATCAAATTAAGTGAAATATTTACTTTCAGAGAAGCCTATATTAAACTGCTTGTCACTGTTAGTGACAAAACCATTCTGTGCGTCGGTATATAACAATTTAATACATTTAATCAAGTAAGTATATATATATATATGTATTTTTTTTTTTCACATCTCCCACCATGCAAGTACATACAAACTTTAAACACACAAACACACACCTTTATTTATTCTTATTGTTTCTTGCTTTGTCAATATATCGTAGTGTATACTGTTTAATAATCATTTTACATTATTTAAAAAAATAAATAAATAAAAATGTAAAAATTTAATAAATAAGCAGCTTGTGCCCTCTGCTCTCGGCAGATGACACTGCTCTCATCTTTCCAACAGAGTTTGTTGTAATAAAAGCATGCCCTGCTTATTCATATGTGTCATTAATTATAACAGTTTAATATAGGCTTCTCTAAAACTGTGAATATTTAACTTTAATTTTATTAAGGCTAGATTATTATTTCATTTACCAAACCAACACAATTCCATGGCAACTCGTGTTTTGGCGCTGAACGGCTGAAGCATATAGTGGGCTTGTTTCACTTCACTTCGTAGGTTATTCTTTTTTCTTATTTATCTAGTAATTAACTGACCAGCGAAAAATACATAACAATTAAAATACAAATTATAGCTAACGAAATTCGTTTCAAAAAGATATTTTTTCCAAGAAACATATATGAATTATATTTTTGTCTGTGCCCGTCCAACTGTGCGGTGATGATTTCGCTCCGTGGAAAATAAGGATTTCATTAACTCTTCACTGCTTCACAGCTGCAGATGTTCTTCAATAGCGATTTTAACACTTTAATATAGGAAGTCCTCGGCTATGCAGAGACCATTATTAATCAGAAATCTAGTGTACATAGTTTTACGTTTGGAAGTGCAGTCTTGAATTTTTAAACAGTCGGCAAGCTACTGAAAAACAGATGTAAAACATTGATGAAATGTAGTTTTCAGTCACGCTCATGTAAGTCATATTCAACTCGTTTAGTTTTGCCTTCATTCATTTTTTATTTCTGTTGTCAACACAGAATTTATTTACAACACATTTTTAAACACAATAGTTTAACTAACTCGTTTCTAATATCTACTTTATCTTCCACAAGGTGACAGCCAGTGAATAATATTTTACAAGTTATTTTGCAAGACAGATGTATTCAGACAAAGTCCCTTTAAGTATTTTATAGTCTTTTATGCAGATTAAAGTGTAATTTAGACTTAATCATTTAACTACGAAAATTAAAATAATTAGTCAAATTATTTTTTAACTGATTTGTTGTTTAAATCAAAAATATACAGTAAATATTTCTTAAGGAGGCTAATAATACTGACCTTATTTTTATAAAAATTAAAAAATTTTATTCACGAAATAAACAATAAAAATAGGACTTATTATGACTCCAGAAAAATTATTTTTTAGGAAACACTGTAAACATTTTCAGAAACATTATTGTAAATGAATGGGAGGGCAAAATAAATTGACTTCAACTGTAGGCCTGTTAAAGTTTACAGGTGCAACAATGTGCCTTGATGTACTTAAATGTTATGCAGAGTTCAGACTGCATGATTTTCCAACTAGTCGTGTCACAGATGTTTTCACACTGCTTGACTATCTGGGCTAGCGTTTCGTCGCTGCTTTGTTTACACTGCAAGATGCATCGGTGACGGGGACATTCACATTGCATGACTTTACTATAGGGAGAATCGCCGACAACTTCGTCCAAACTACGCCTCACAGCCAAAAACACGTATTATAGCTTATCTTTTGTTATTAACTACATAATAAGAAAGAAGCCTTTAATGGGGTTGAACATGTACAAGTTTGCTCACCTGGGTTTAAAGGGAATTAGCCATTTCTCCTCAACGTTGATAATAAACTAATTTCTTTCTGTATGAAACGTCAAACAGACACGGTGGCTCCTGAGTCCTGTCAAACCTCCACTAGTTTTCCCTCCATTTCGTGGGTCCAAATAAACCGAAAATGAGCGCTTTTAACTTCTCCCCCAGCCTCCCACTGGCCTGCAGCAGGTATACACACACACACACACATACACACACAAGTGAAAGCTGCTCTCTCATTGGCTGTAGGCGATCGCTAATGTTATTTTCAGTCAAAACTCAATTCACACGGCATGATTTGCATCGCCGACAGCTCCAGATATTCAGCACGCCAAATATCTCGCAGGCATCGGCGACTCATCTGCGATTCTCTCCGATCGCGTCTTTGATAGTTCATACTGTGTGATTATCACTCACGTGCACGAGCAGCGATTTACCTGTGATTTCAGGCATTTGTCGGCGATTTCTCAAAACCTGTCGGCGAGCCAAAATCGGGGCTAAAATCACGCAGTCTGAACTAGGCATTAGAGATGTGTTCTCCTACACCACTACAAGATTATTTTGAGTTTAAGTTATTTATTATCTTGCTTATGAAGACTACAGAGTGATGCTTGAACAAAAATGACTTTGAATAATGTTTTAAGTATTTTGCGATATATATGTTAAAATGTGCTCCTAAAAGTATGTGGCCCCTGCCCGCCCCCCACAGGTTAGTAGTAAGCTAATGTAATTTCATAATGCAAATCCTAAATTCATGCTAACCAACAAATGATCAAAGGAAATGTATTAGTATAATACAATATGAATTGATGTTTACTTTAAACTGTAATTATATTGTTCTATTAAAATGATTTTTTTAAATATTTTGTCAAATAATTTTTTTTAGGAGTCATCCACCATCATTTTGTGGCTAAAAAGTACCGATTCAGGCACCGGTATCGTTTTAAAAGTATCGATTTAGCACCGGTATCGAAAAAAACCCAAACGATACCCAACCCTAGTAAAATGTGGAGCTTTGTTGGTCCCCAGGACTGGAGTCTAAAACAGACATCAGTGTAGATCCATTCCAACAGAAATCATCTAGTAAGAAAAAAAAAAAAACAGGAGGTTATTTAACAAATATTGCATCCATTTGAGTTCATTCAGTGAATAAAACAAACACATTTCTCCTCAGTCTAAGAGAAAAAGTTTAAATCTATAAATTCAGAGATATTTTCTTATTAAGTTTAGGTTTAAAGCAACTCATTTTTGTCTTTCTAATTCTTGTCTACTTCTGAGGGGGGAAAATTAATTTTGTAAACCATAAATCATAATTGCCATAAACAAAAGACTGAAAATATAGATGTTTACATTTTTGTTTTATATTTAGTGGAGAAACACAGATTACCACATATACAATCCGAATTATCAATTGTTTTTTATTAATACAAGTTCAGTACACATTGTTTGCTTGTGAAACTGTATTTCTGCAATCATTTTCATAATATACTGTTTGTATGAGTTTCCCACCAGAATCAAGGTATTTTCACCATGATATATTCTCTCCACACGGAATAAAAGCGCATCCAGCTTCGACAAACTAGTCAAAAAACTAACTCTACTAACTAGCTTGATATTAATGCAGATACACTTACTGTCCACCAGGCGGCGCTGAAACACAGATCTGATCTCATGAAATTTGTGTCTAAACCTAAAATCTGTGGCTACAATGCTCTTTATATCAGTAACATAGACATGACAACAAGAAATCATGGTTCAACTATAATTAATGATTATAAATATCATTGCTAATAACTAAACAAAACATACATCGACTTAAAATGTACACATCACCATAAAAGCCGTCTGAGTTTTGATTGTTTACACATTGAGTGCGTCTATTTGAGTTAAACACAGCTTTTCTGTTTTACCCCATCAAAGATTATTCAGCAAAACTGCTATAATACACTTAGATTCACACGTCTAGACCCGCCATAAATAACAGGATTGCTTTCAAATGCGTTTTATTCATTGATTTCTCAGCCCTCTTACCTGCGACTGAACACCACGAGCTCATGATCTGAACAACACTCATTCATGCCCACACGAGGGCGCTGACGACCACATCTTGACTTTTTAGGCACTTGACATTGAGCTATTTAATAACCTACCTAATAGATGCATTATAATGTCTGGATGTCTACATTTTAAATTATACATATGTGGAGTGTAAATGACTTATCAGACTTTAAATAAACGAGGCTTTAACGCTGTAACTCGTCCTGTTAGGGACTCTAGTGCAGTTCTCCATCCGCTCCACCAGGCGGCGCGCGCGACTTCCCGTTCAGTCTGACCCAGAGCTTCAGGATGTTGACAGTGTGACGTTTGTTTTGGTGCAGCAGCAGCACGAGTGTGCAGTTTTAAACACATAAACTGAAGATGACAGCTCAGCGACAGTGTTTTAATGTCACTAAACAACATTTAATGCAGTCCGACAACTAAAATAACCGACACACGCTGAGATAAAGGACAGGAATGCAGTGAAAAGCGACTCATCTGTAAGTAACTGTACAGTATTTCTCCTGCATTTCCTCATTAAGTCTTTATTCTTTGTACTTCAGTCGCAGTTAAGTTCATGTTTAGCACTTATTGAAGTGTCTTTACTGATATGTTTAAGCAGAGCTCTCCTGTTTGTTAAACAGCTTTGTTTACATGCTGCTCTCTGTCACTGTCAGACATTTAGGAGCAAATAAATTGGTAGTTGCTGTTTAATATGTAAAGGCTCAGAGTTAAACAGCCTCTCATTATAAAGCAGAACAAGACATAATATGTGTTAACAAGTCAGTTTGTGAAGCTCTGATGTTCTGCTGTGTTTCTAGAGCTTGCACAGGCAATATTTAGGCTGTAAATGTGTATAATTCTGAATTATTAACTGTAATATCTGTCAGAGTGTGATGTTTAGATCTGCTGTTTGACAGTGTCTCTATTTCTGTGTTTCCTCTAGAGATTGAGGGATGTGTTTGGACCGTACAGTCAACAGAAGCAGAGCTCCGGGACGTTTGGACTACATTTACAGGCGTGATGGACGTCTGCTGCGGACAGGTAAGACCTCCCGCATGTTTTTGTGTTATGTGCTATCGGTTACCATCACTTCCTTTCTGGAGAGGTCACCTCTCTAGAAAGGAAGTGATGGTAACCGAAACGGGGAGAGAAGGGACGGGGGTCTGGATTTTTATAGAGCTAATTTTTTTTTTAGTAAAAAGCAGCATAACCCCTGCTGTACATGGCCCCGTAGGTCAGGGGAGGAACGTTTCATCCTCCCCCTTCATTCACGCCGACACTCACACATATCGCAGTGATCTGGCTGGGATGGAACCAGCGACCTCTTAACCCTTGAGGCAATGCTCTACCGCTGAGCCACAGTCACATACCTAATGATGTGCTGGAACTTATATTTGACCTGTTCGCCTGTAGGTGAGGTAAAGAGCAAAAGTGAGCAGAGCCTGGATTCGAACCCAAATTTCTCTGACAGCGTTAAACATGTGCTCAGCCTGACGAATTTCTGATTGAAAGCTCAACGCTCTAACCACTGAGCCACAGAGCTTGTACATTGCATGACTTGTAATCTGAGTTTTGTTGGATCCCCTAAGAATTTTAACGGTGAAATTCAAGCAGCTGTGGGATTCAAACCCGGGTCTTCAAAATGCAAATCTAATGCTCTAACCGCTAAACCATGGAGCTTGTGCTGACTCTGAGGGTGTAATTTGGGATTTGTTGAATCCCCAAATAATCTTGACAGTGAAATTCAAGCAACAGTGGATTCAAACCCGGGTCTCCAAAATGGAAATCTAATGCTCTAACCACTGTACTATTGAGCTTGTGTTTTCCATGATGGTTGTAATTTGAGTTTTGTTGGATCCCCAAAAAATATTGACAGTGAAATTCAAGCAAAACCTGCTGTCTGAGGCTTTTAATTTGAGGTTTGTCGGATCTTTATATAATTTTTCACAGTGAAATTCCAGCAGCCGTGGGATTCAAACCCGGGTCTTCAAAATACAAATCGAATGCTCTAACCACTCAACCACAGAGCTGGTCCTCACCGTAAGTGTTGTAATTCAAGCTTTATTGGGTCCCCAAAGAAATTTAAGAGTGAAATTAAAGCCTGCGTCTTCAAAGGGGAAATCAAATGCTCTAACCACTGGACATGTTTAATGGAAGGTTTTATTGATAATTTAGTATCTGTTTGACTCTTTATGCTAAAGCATGATTTGAACTCAAGACTCCTGGTTGAGTAGCTAACGCTCTAACCACTCAGCCAATGAATAGTCTACATGTTATACGTTTAATGACATGTCTTCATATATCCACTTAGAAAACTATGATTTAAAGATATGTGACAGCGAGATTTGAACTCTGGGCTCTTGTGTGGAATCCCAATGCTCTAACCACTGAGCCACAGAGTTTGGTTTATGGTGATGAAGATGAAGCTGCTAAGAATCATTTGTTAAACAGGGCTTTAATGACAGATTTGATGCATATGAGCACTAGTAATTCCCATACTTTAAGTGTTCCTCTGCTTTTAACCCCCTTATCTGGAGCAGATGAGCACCAAGGGAGCATTTAGGAGTTAAGTGCCTTGTTCAAGATCACGTTACTTCGAAGGAATCAGAACCAGGAATCGAACCAGGTACCACCCAACATGAATAGTCCAAGTCCAACTCACTGACCACTAGGCCACAGCTACCCAACCCTTTGGTTACTCTGTTACCACATACTTTAGATAACTGAATGCTGCTGTTTAATAATTACTTAGAAATTGACAGATATTTCATCAAATAGAAGTTGCTTAAAACAAATGACCAAACCAGTTTTTATGAAGTTCATTAAATATAGGAAACTGGGTTATTTAAGTATTGACACAAAATTACAAACAATCATGATTCTTATGAAGAACTTTATTAATTATTCAAGCAATAAACAGCATCATTTGGACATTTAGATACTCTGTAGATGAACTGGAGTCCTGCAGATCTTGATTAGCTGCTGCAGGTGTTTTTAATCAGACTGAGGCTCATCAGGATCAGGAGCTACGCTAGACACACAAACATCATCTATCAACTGTTGTCCACATGAGGGAGCTGACTCACATTAACAGCAGAAACAGAGTATTGAACTTGACTAAACTGAGGCAAATGTTATTCCAATCCAGGGTGCCCACATGTCCTGGAAAACCCGGAACATGTATAAACATGAATGAAGTCTCCAGTCCTGGAAAACACATGGAACATTAGAGAAAACATAAATTGTCCTGGTAAACAAGTTTCATTGGCAGAGAAAAGTATAAGTTTTAAATGTTTATGTTCTTTAAAGAGCAGTTTAAAGTTGGTCTGAAAACACATTAGCATTTTTACCATGTTAACCATGTTTTGTTCAGGCACATTAACTTCCATTTTGATAATCACAGTTTTACCGTAAATACGGTTAAATTCTAGTTGGTGTTGCAAATCCATGGTTAATTTGTGGTTCCTATTGTCGCTGTAGTTAGACCATTGTTTTGGCACCTTGGATTGGAATAACATTTGCCTCAGTTTAGTCAAGTTCAATACTCTGTTTCTGCTGTTAATGTGAGTCAGCTCCCTCATGTGGACAACAGTTGATAGATGATGTTTGTGTGTCTAACGTAGCTCCTGATCCTGATGAGCCTCAGTCTGATTAAAAACACCTGCAGCAGCTAATCAAGATCTGCAGGACTCCAGTTCATCTACAGAGTATCTAAATGTCCAAATGATGCTGTTTATTGCTTGAATAATTAATAAAGTTCGTCATAAGAATCATGATTGTTTGTAATTTTGTGTCAATACTTAAATAACCCAGTTTCCTATATTTAATGAACTTCATAAAAACTGGTTTGGTCATTTGTTTCAACACCAACTTCTATTAGATGAAATATCTGTCAATTTCTAAGTAATTATTAAACAGCAGCATTCAGTTATCTAAAACATGTGGTAACAGAGTAACCAATGGGTTGGGTAGCTGTGGCCTAGTGGTCAGTGAGTTGGACTTGGACTATTCATGTTGGGTGGTACCTGGTTCGATTCCTGGTTCTGATTCCTTCGAAGTAACGTGACCTTGAACAAGGCACTAAATGCTCCCTTGGTGCTCATCTGCTCCAGATGAGGGCTGTTAAAAGCAGAGGAACAATTAAAGTATGGGAATTACTAGTGCTCATATGCATCAAATCTGTCATTAAAGCCCTGTTTAACAAATGATTCTTAGCAGCTTCATCTTCATCACCATAAACCAAACTCTGTGGCTCAGTGGTTAGAGCATTGGGATTCCACACAAGAGCCCAGGGTTCAAATCTCACCATTGCATATCTTTAAATCATAGTTTTCTAAGTGGATTCATGAAAAAATGTCATTATACGTGTAATGTGTGTAGACTATTCATTGGCTGAGTGGTTAGAGCGTTAGCTACCCAACCAGGAGTCTTGAGTTCAAATCACGCTTTCGCATAAAAAGTCAAACAGATACTAAATTATCAATAAAACCTTCCATTAAACATGTTGAGTAGTCAGAGCCTTAGATTAACCCCTTTGAAGTCGCAGGCTATAATTTCAGTTTTATAATTTCTTTGGGGATCCAATAAAGCTTGAATTACAACTTTTACGGTGAGGACCAGCTCTGTGGTTGAGTGGTTAGAGCGTTCGATTTGTATTTTGAAGACCCGGGTTTGAATCCCACGGCTGCTGGAATTTCACTGTGAAAAATTATATAAAGATACGACAAACCTCAAATTAAAAGCCTCAGACAGCAGGTTTTGCTTGAATTTCACTGTTAAAATTTTTTGGGGAACCAACAAAACTCGAATTACAACCATTATGGAAAACACAAGCTCAATAGTACAGTGGTTAGAGCATTAGATTTCCATTTTGGAGACCCGGGTTTGAATCCACTGTTGCTTGAATTTCACTGTCAAGATTATTTGGGGATCCAACAAATCCCACATTACACCCTCAGGGACAGCACAAGCTCCGTGGTTTAGCGGTTAGAGCATTAGGTTTGCATTTTGAAGACCCGGGTTTGAATCCCACAGCTGCTTGAAATTCACCATTAAAATTCTTAGGGGATCCAACAAAACTCGAAATACAACCTCGATGTAAAACACTAGTTCCATGGCACAGTGGTTAGAGCATTAGATTTATGTTTTGAAGACTCGGGTTTGAATCCCACTACTGCTTGAGTTTCACTGTTAATATGCTCACAGGATCCAACAAAATTCGGATTATAAACCTCAAGAAACGTACAAGCTCTATGGCTCAGTGGTTAGAGCGTTCAGCTTTCAATCAGAAACACGTCAGGCTGAGCACATGTTTAACGCTGTCAGAGAAATTTGGGTTCGAATCCAGGCTCTGTTCACTTTTGCTCTTTGCCTCACCTACAGGCGAACAGGTCAAATATAAGTTCCAGCACATCATTAGGTATGTGACTGTGGCTCAGCGGTAGAGCATTGCCTCAAGGGTTAAGAGGTCGCTGGTTCCATCCCAGCCAGATCACTGCGATATGTGTGAGTGTCGGCGTGAATGAAGGGGGAGGATGAAACGTTCCTCCCCTGACCTACGGGGCCATGTACAGCAGGGGTTATGCTGCTTTTTACTAAAAAAAAAATTAGCTCTATAAAAATCCAGACCCCCGTCCCTTCTCTCCCCGTTTCGGTTACCATCACTTCCTTTCTAGAGAGGTGACCTCTCCAGAAAGGAAGTGATGGTAACCGATAGCACATAACACAAAAACGAGCGGGAGGTCTTACCTGTCCGCAGCAGACGTCCATCACGCCAGTAAATGTAGTCCAAACGTCCCGGAGCTCTGCTTCTGTTGACTGTACGGTCCAAACACATCCCTCTTTCTCTAGAGGAAACACAGAAATAGAGACACTGTCAAACAGCAGATCTAAACATCACACTCTGACAGATATTACAGTTAATAATTCAGAATTATACACATTTACAGCCTAAATATTGCCTGTGCAAGCTCTAGAAACACAGCAGAACATCAGAGCTTCACAAACTGACTTGTTAACACATATTATGTCTTGTTCTGCTTTATAATGAGAGGCTGTTTAACTCTGAGCCTTTACATATTAAACAGCAACTACCAATTTATTTGCTCCTAAATGTCTGACAGTAACAGAGAGCAGCATGTAAACAAAGCTGTTCAACAAACAGGAGAGCTCTGCTTAAACATATCACTAAAGACACTTCAATAAGTGCTAAACATGAACTTAACTGCGACTGAAGTACAAAGAATAAAGACTTAATGAGGAAATGCAGGAGAAATACTGTACAGTTACTTACAGATGAGTCGCTTTTCACTGCATTCCTGTCCTTTATCTCAGCGTGTGTCGGTTATTTTAGTTGTCGGACTGCATTAAATGTTGTTTAGTGACATTAAAACACTGTCGCTGAGCTGTCATCTTCAGTTTATGTGTTTAAAACTGCACACTCGTGCTGCTGCTGCACCAAAACAAACGTCACACTGTCAACATCCTGAAGCTCTGGGTCAGACTGAACGGGAAGTCGCGCGCGCCGCCTGGTGGAGCGGATGGAGAACTGCACTAGAGTCGCTAACAGGACGAGTTACAGCGTTAAAGCCTCGTTTATTTAAAGTCTGATAAGTCATTTACACTCCAAATATGCATAATTTAAAATGTAGACATCCAGAAACTATAATGCATCTATTAGGTAGGTTATTAAATAGCTCAATGTCAAGTGCCAAATAAGTCAAGATGTGGTCGTCAGCGCCCTCGTGTGGGCATGAATCAGTGTTGTTCAGATCATGAGCTCGTGGTGTTCAGTCGCAGGTAAGAGGGCTGAGAAATCAATGAATAAAACGCATTTGAAAGCAATCCTGTTATTTATGGCGGGTCTAGACGTGTAAATCTAAGTGTATTATAGCAGTTTTGCTGAATAATCTTTGATGGGGTAAAACAGATAAGCTGTGTTTAACTCAAATAGACGCACTCAATGTGTAAACAATCAAAACTCAGACGGCTTTTATGGTGATGTGTACATTTTAAGTCGATGTATGTTTTGTTTAGTTATTAGCAATGATATTTATAATCATTAATTATAGTTGAACCATGATTTCTTGTTGTCATGTCTATGTTACTGATATAAAGAGCATTGTAGCCACAGATTTTAGGTTTAGACACAAAATGCATTAGAACAGATCTGTGTTTCAGCGCCGCCTGCTGGACAGTAAGTGTGTCTGCATTAATATCAAACACTAGTTAGAACTAATGATATTTTGGATTGTATATTTTCTTCTACTAAATATAAAACAAAATAATTAGAACATGTAAACATCTATATTTTCAGTCTTTTGTTTATGGCAATTATGAATTATGGTTTACAAAATTCATTTTTCCCCCTCAGAAGTAGACAAGATTTAGAAAGACAAAAATGAGTTGCTTTAAACCTAAACTTAATAAGAAAATATCTCTGAATTTATAGATTTAAATTTTTTCTCTTAGACTGAGGAGAAATGTGTTTGTGTTATTCACTGAATGAACTCAAATAAATGCAATATTTGTTAAATAACCTCCTGTTTTTTTTCTTATTAGATGACTTCTGTTGGAATGGATCTACACTGATGTCTGTTTTAGACTCCAGTCCTGGGGACCAACAGAGCTCCACATTTTACATGTTTCTCTTATCAAATACACACAGGTTCCTGAAAACAGGTTGTGAATCAGGGTCCGTATTCACAAAACTTATCTTCTCCTCAACATCGGAAAAAGTTTTAAGCTAAGAGTTTTCTTTTACAACTTATTCACAAAGCTGCAGATTCAAAGGTTTACTGGAGAGAAGTCTTGAGCTAAGATTGAGGCCGGGGTTCAGCCCATTGCTATGGATGATGTCAGCATGCTTGTTAATTATGCACACAGTGATTGGACGATAAGCAGGGGAGGAGTCTCTGTCAGAAATGTGTTGATAGAAACTTTGCAGAGGACAATATCATGTGGCTGTATTCAAATAAAGGTTTTAAAATGCCGGGTAAGTGAAGAATTGAATTCCTTACTCTTAATATGACAGTAAATAAATAAAGACTTCTAATGTTTTAATTTACGGTATTTTATTTATAAAATAATTAGGCAAATATGTTTTAAATTACTTTATGTATTTTCTTTTTACATATACACTGAACAATATATAAAAAGGCCACATTTGTATTTATAGTATTTGTATTTATTTTTGAAAATATATATATTTTTGTCAGGGTTTTTTTTTATTTTTGAATGTGTAATAAATAAATTGTATAAATTGTTTTATAAAATTATAAATTGAAATAAATTAAAGTATTTATATTTGAAGGCATATTTATTTTCTTATGTGAATACCTCTTGATTAAAGGTGACAACTTGTTCAAAGCTATTTGTGGTGAAATGTTTCTGTCTAAAATGTTTTCTTTTCAAGCCAGACGGCTGAAAACAGCCATTTTAGGATAGTCTGTCATTTGTTCTGAGTGACTTCACTACTCTTTACATTTCACTGATTTTTGATCTAGTTTTAATGCTAAAACCCTTTGTGAAATACTCTTAAAGCAAATGTTTAGGATACCTACAATCAGAACTCACACTAAAATATTTTCCTTGTAAATTGGAGCGTTAGCAGCTAGTTTTAGCTTTGAGGTGTTTTGTGAATACGACCCCAGATGTTTTAAATAAGAGACTGAATGTGTAGAGCCCAACAGGGATCCATAAATATAAATTTGCAGGTGAACTGAATCATGAGGAGAGTATTTTATCTGCAGTCGAAGCAATGTGTTTGTTCATGTCCTCACTGCCCTTTCTTCTTTCTTGTGTGGTTGAACTTAACTAAACTGAAGTTCATTTGTTTAAACATCATCTGCAAAAAACAAGATGTGCTTACCATTTGATGGTGATCCTCAGCTTCAAGTGTGTGATCATGATCTCCTCTAACTCGGGGATACTGCCTTTGTCTGTTGGAAGGTACAACAACATGTACAGATTTTAAATCATTCTTATAATGGTGGCTTATTTGGCTTCTGAATTGTTTATGTTGTAAGTTGCTATATGACAGCTTCATCTTTTATGTGAATCACTTTATACGATGCTTTGAATTGAACTGCAGTGCTCTAAACACCTCAGTTGAATTGAATTGAATAGAATGTAATTAATTGAATTTACTTACAGGCTAAAAATGGGGTAAATGCAAATAAGAACTCAGTCCAGACATGTTGAATGAATCGATTTAGCTGAATCAATTTAAATGATTCATTGAACAGAACGGAACTGTGAACACTTCAAATGAATTGAATTGAATTGCTCTACATCTGCAGGTCAAAACGGTGTAAATGCCAAAAAAAAAAAAAAACAGTCCAAACATTAATGAATCAATTTAAATGAATCAGTTTAAATGACTCATTGAATTGAACCGCTGTAAATGCTTTAAATGAATCAAACTGGTTAAAAGAAAAGAATCTAAAAGCCTAATAAAGCTGTTTTTTAAGATCACTCTCACTATATACTGTATAAGAGCTTGTAACTGACCTGTGTTCAGTCTTGATCACACCGTCTTCACTTCTGTGTTCTTTTCCTATTAATAAAAAAACAAAGAAACATTAAAAAACTGCCTTGTCATACATATGAACAAACATTAGATAATATGCGAGAAATGATCAAGTGAGTCACGTTTTGCTCGGTGTCTGGCTTTGTTATGTGGTTATTGTCTATAATACTCTTCAAGCCTTGATACACAGCTTCAGCACAGATTAAGTGGCTCAGCAGATAAAAGTGTTAAACTGTGAACATGAAGGCCAGAGTTCAAATCCCATCCCCAATATTTGCAAACATTAATTTGGTGTCATTATGTGCAACAAAGTGCAATAAACTTCTGAAACACACATAAGTGCCATGGTGGCGCTACTGGCTATACACATGTTCTCCATGGTCAAGGCTGCTGGAAAGACTTGGGTTCAAAGCCCAGCTCTGCTCACATTTGCTCTCTGGCCCACCAACAAGCGAATTGGGGAAATATAATCTCCAGCACATCATTAGGTATGTGACTGTGGCTCAGTGGTAGAGCATTGCCTCAAGGGTTAAGAGGTCGCTGGTTCAATCCCAGCCAGATCACTGCGATATGTGTGAGTGTCGGCGTGAATGAAGGGGGAGGATGAAACGTTCCTCCCCTGACCTACGGGGCCATGTACAGCAGGGGTTATGCTGCTTTTTACTAAAAAAAAAAAAATTAGCTCTATAAAAATCCAGACCCCCGTCCCTTCTCTCCCCGTTTCGGTTACCATCACTTCCTTTCTAGAGAGGTGACCTCTCCAGAAAGGAAGTGATGGTAACCGATAGCACATAACACAAAAACGAGCGGGAGGTCTTACCTGTCCGCAGCAGACGTCCATCACGCCACTAAATGTAGTCCAAACGTCCTGGAGCTCTGCTTCTGTTGACTGTACGGTCCAAACACATCCCTTATTCTGTAGAGAAAGCACAGAAAAATGTTTAGGTTAACTGAAAAATTCAGAGAGCAAAGAAGCACACACACACACACAAAAAAAAAAAAAAAAAAAATATATATATATATGATTGGTAATCAAAACAAGTGTGGGTTAGGAATTTGATCAGGATTTTACCAGTTTCTTATATTCAAATTTGTTTTTAAGTCAATGTTTAATTAAATACATTTAGATTTTAGATAAAAAATTGATGTCTAAAATCATAGACACGCCCCCTTCTTTAATTGTCCTCCCACGGTTGCTATTGGTCAACTTTGACACACCCCGAAAAATAACCAATCCGGGAAGGGAAGCGCGATCATTTCTACACTCATAGGTCAGATTCGCAGTCAATCACATTGTTTGACAGCGTGTAAACACTCATTATCGAAACTACATTTTGATGACTGACAAAGTGTTCATTTCAATCAAAAAGTGCAGTAAAATATGTGTAAAAGTCTTTACGTTTGTGCTGATTTAATACTTTATATTAGGACAAAGACGTTCCTCCGGTTCCTAAGAAAAGCACAGATACATCGTAAAGTAAATACTCAATTATACTTTTATAAATGTTTCAGCTAATCTATCACATTTCTTTTTCGCTACTATTCCAGTATTGAGGCTTGTGGTCAATGCCGCATTTCAATCAGCCTTTATTTAACATGTTCTGGAAACTCATGGTAAAATATTTGCTGTTGTAAACAGTGGAAACGCCCACACAATCAAGCCACCGTTTATTACCTTTGTAAACAGCTCTATTCGGTAGACAACATTCAGTATTTCATATTATATTCAGTGCAACACATTTTCATTGAACCCGTGTTTGTAAACGCAAAACGTGGTGTTTGTTTGTTTTCATTACTCACGTTGTCATGACGAGCGTGCTGCTGTCATCTGAAGTTCTACGTCTTCCCACCTGATTCGTGTTGAGTCGAGCTGAACATTGCTTCTGCCGCCTAGTGGAGTGGATGAAAATCTGCAGTTTCTACCGCAAGAGATTTCAACTATTATTGACTATATTCCAAAACGACATTCATGTTGACATTTTTATACTTGATGAAATGTAAATATTGTCATGTTAATAAATAATGTGTATTAGGCAGATAAGAAATATGAGCTCCCTCTTGTGGTCAATAAGTGTATCAACATATTCATGTTCAGCCAGAGGAGAAATTAAAACTAAAATATGATTCTGTCAAGATCTCGACCAGAATAACATGGATTCATTTTTGATAAAAAATCCAACTCATCTTGCATTGACGAAATTCAATAATAGAAAACATATCTGATGTACACATCTTTATATATCATGTAGTTTTAGGTATAAAATGTGTCAAACATTGGCATATAATCTTTACACAGTTCTTAAAGCAAGTACTCTTACCTGTTTACCTTCTTCCAATGTTTCAGGTGCAAAATCTATTATATTTTGTTCCTAAATTGCGAGTATACTGTCTTAAGTGCAATCAGTACACCATTTCCCAAAGACCAACATGATGGTGTGGATTTTCATCATTCAACCTGACTGAAAATGATGTCCAGGTGCAGGATAATTAAGCATGCATGTGTCAAATAATTACAACACAAAGAAAACTAAAGCAGAAGGAAATAATCCACAACCTTAACACTTCTTTATTTTTATTTCCATTTGTTTCCTTAAATTGTGCTTTAAGCAGGGCAGTTATTTAAATCATTGCATGTTGGACATTTATTAATGTCTTTAATACAACAGAATTTAGAAACTGCTAGTAAACAAGTTTTAAAAATGACATATTCACACTCATCACACACCAATCACACACATGCACACACAGATTCTGATTTCTCTGTCTACTGTTAGCATGTAAAGTCCCATCACTGCAACATGGAGTTCACATTTTCCTCTTGTGTTCAGAAAGAGAGCTGCACCGACTGCTTGGTTTCAGAGGTGATTTCAGCTGTCCTGCAGGAGGTCAAAGACTCCACTGGAAATCACTTGATGCTTGTCTTCTTCCTTTAACAAAAGACAAATCACATCAACTTTAATGCACCTTTTTAGGATTTTAATACCTATAATTCTGAAAAATAAAATAAAATGACCCTTTACTGCAGAATTTATATATGTATAAAAAGTAATTTTAGTTTAAATGTGTATTAATCCCCTTGGGGCAATTCATTCTGACATGGTGGTGCTTTACATATGACAAGAACGACACACTTATGATACACTTAACACAATAAACACCAACACAAGTACACAAACAAAAAACTAAAAATTAATAAAAAAATAATGATAAAAATCAATAAGTAAGAGTAAACTCAGAGGATGTGTAAACATTAGAGAATGCTCTGTATGGGATCTGTTTATGTATAGGTTATTACAAAGAACATGTCTGCAACATTATAAGATGTTTATAGTTATAAAAATGTATAAAAGAGAGACAGAATGCTATCTATAAGGTATGTTCTTATTAATATCAATATTGCTAAAATGCCCTTGGCAAAATCTGGGAATGTTGGTTCATGATTACACATTTTAATGTAAAAATAACCAATACAGAACGTTGAATATGCTCTCTTCAGGTATTTACAAAAAACAAGTTCTTGTAATCTTGTAATTTATGGATTGTTTATGATTAATAATGTATAATAAATATTTCTAACAGAGATCCTTCCTGCAGCATTGTGGGAAGGTTGGATATTGGTTACAAAAATAGAGTTTGCCAAAGTAGTCTCATATTATTCTCTAAAACAATAGTCTAATGGCAGCTATAGATGAATGAGCAGTGTTTGTGTCTCTTCTGTTTGACTCACTGACCGTTGGTGGTTGTTCTTTAGTGGCAGGAGCAGCGTCGTATACAGGATTACTGATGTTTGGACTGGATTCTGTTGGGGTGACATCTTCCCCTTCATCCTCCTAACATTACGATAAAGAATAATTAAAAGTCAGCAAATCAAATATGTATGCATATATATGATTTCTATCAGCTCAATAATATATAAGCATGAACACAAAGACCTTAAAATAGTGGAACTGGAATGGCTTTGTTTTATGTGTGTAGAAATTGTATCCCACGAATCCAGCCACTACGATGAGAATGATGAGCCCCAGGACGCCGATGCCCAACCCAGCCTGATGAGCCGGGTGGAAGGAGGGAGTTGGAGGTGGAGGCGCTTTCAGAGGGCCCTGCAGAACGTGGATCACCCCGTTGGATGCAAAAATGTTGGAGTCTATGACATACCGGTCGTTGATGTATCCTGAGGAGGTCTGAGACAAGCAGTGTTTGTCAATGTGAGTCGAATGTGTTGACATAATGGATGCGAGTTGCAGATATTCTCACCATTTTTTGAGGGTTCTGGAGGTCAGGCACACCGGTGATGGTCAGACTGGAGCCCAGTCGTGTTCGGACATGAGTGACGTTAATAAGGGCCTGCAGTATTAAAGCCCTCCCATCCAGGAGATGGTGCTCTATGTCTCTGCCACTTAAAGTCTGGTCAACACATAAGACAAATAAATCCACCTGATCTCACAGGGAAGCATAAGTTGTTTATGTTTTGTCAGTTTAGGCTTATAGGGTATATGTCGAGCTAGTGCTGTTCCCATGCTAATACACTTCTGGTGACCTGTTATTGTGAACTTTTTTCCATTTTATACGGTTCCTTATACAGCATCGATGTTGTAATGTCATAAAAATACATTCAGTTAAATAAACATTAGCATTTATTTAGTTGCTCAAGCGTAAAATGAGACAAAAAGCCGTTTACTCGCACGCGCCTGTCAGAATCGGCAGACTAATGCAGAAGCTTCATTGAATATAATGGGGTAAAATAAATGCTCGTATTATAAAGATATGGTGGGGGAAATGTAATTTAATGCAGTGCTTCTTGTACAATCTGAGACCCACTTTAAATCGGATATCACTCAGCTAGTGGAGATCGCTGATTTTTAAAGAAAACAGACCTTAAACGCACCGGATTTTGCATTGGCATTCACTTCGCCGGAAGCGCTTAACCCAGGTTACTGGCAAATTAAAAGTCCTATTAGCATGCTTCGGCATATACCCCATTGGGTATATGTACAGGATCTTTTTCAGCCAGCCTAAGCGCTTCCATTGAACTGCCTATACATAATAAAATCGCCATGTTTAAGGTCTGTTTTCTTTAAAAAAAAAACAGTGACCTTCACTTGTAGATATACGATATAAAGTGGGTCTCAGACCAGACAAGAAGCACTGCATTCAATTCCATTTCTCCCCACCATGTCTTTAAAATATGACAGTTTATTTTACCCCAGTATCTTTAATGGAGTTTGTGATCTAGCCTGCTGATACTGATGGTGCTAGCAGTAACATGATCTTTCTTCTCGATTTACGCTTGAACAACTAAATAAATGCTTAAGTCTATCTAACTGAATGTATTTAAATAACATTACAACAGTGATGCTGTAATAGGAACGTTATGAAATTGAAAATAGTCACATGAAGCTTTCCCCGGGAGTTTATCATTGGCTGAAAAACACTAGCTGTGCATATATGCCATTTGTACAAATTCATACGAATTCAGTCGTATGATTGTGTGGTGTGGCACCAAACCAAACCGCTAATCAAATCACACTAATGTGTACGAATATAAGTACTATAATAATAGTTCATACAAACTCTTACGAATTAGTGACTAAATCAAAATATTACATATATTTTTATAAATCTTAACTATTTTAAATGTCGTAAAAGTTCATAAAACGTAAACGTTGTGTTGAATGTTTTCAATAAAGACTTTAACATTTACACAAATTCAATTTTAAATAAATGCTGGGTTGTACTTCTTTATTTAGTTTTTTACTAATAATCAAAAATCCTTTCACAAAAAAGAACAATTGCAAAAACATATCTAGCAGTTTTGATAACCGTACTATTAGACATTATTCTACAAAAGAAAACTGTATCATCTGACAAAACCATGTTGTCTTAATACTATCAAACCTACATTTCTCTGTCAAACATAGTGATGTGCTGAAGTAAAATGAAATGGCATTTTAAAATATAGAAACAAAATATTGAGAAGTGTAGCAGAAGGATGTGGGAGTCACCTGGTTGCTATAGAGACCATCGTTATCAGGTACAAACAGAGTGGACTGGATAGTGATGTTCCGAAGGCGATTCACGAATGCTTTTCCTGATGCAGATGTTGAAAAATTCAGGATTTGCTGAAAAAGACAGAACAGTCGGTCACACGGTACAATTCTTGCTATTAATAAACTATCAAGTATGACTTTTACCTCAATAAACTACTAATTTGTTGCTTATCAATAGTTATCAGGGTAGTAGATATTAGGTAGGATTATGGATGTAGAACACAGATGTCAAATCCAGTTCCTGAGGAGATGTAGTTCCACACAGTGTAGTTTCAACCCTGCTTCAACACACTTACCTGTAGGTTTCAAACACAACTGAAGGACTCAATTAGCTTATCAGGTGTGTTTAATTAGGGTTGGAACTAAACTGTGCAGAGCTGCAGTCCTCCAGGAACTAAGTTTGACACCTGTGATGTAAAATAAGATCATGCAGAATATATAAGTACTAATAAACAACCAATATATTAATAATAGGCAGGTAGTAAGCTACTAGTTAAGTCAGTGTGGACCGGAAGTTGCTGAGATTTTTTTTTCAGTATGTTGATGTTCTTCCAATTGTAAATGGAATATTGAGTAGGGGGCGGGGCTTTTTTTTGCATCATTCCCTTATAGCAAACTAGCTGTAAGAGGGGCGTGGTTAAAAATATAGTGGCTGAAGCCATTAAACTGATGTCAACAGAGAAGACCGCCAATCCAAATACAGAAATGGTCAGACTTTAATTGATTGGCTAATTTTTTCAGTGGATTAATATGAACAGATTAATTTTTAGAAGAATTACAATGTGTGCTAGTAGTAAATTTAGACTTCACACAGAGTTTAAAGGTGAGAATTGGTACCTAAACATGTTAAAACTTTAACGACAACAAAAAAAAAACCGAACACATTTCAACTTTAAACACACAAGAATTCCATCCATTACAACATAACTTTGACAATTAACTAAAATTCAACTTACAGACAGGAAGTTAGACAGGGTCGGTGTTGCAGAGAGAACCTGCATCAAGTTTCCAGTACAGGAGAATCCATCACCAATGTAGCCAGTTTTACATTTACACTGCACATCTGAAACACACACATTCTGCTGATATCCAAACCTCACAAAAGCCATTTTAAAAAAAAAAAACGTTTTTTACCTTTCACTCTGTAGCAGAATGTGTCCCACGTCTCACTTAGGTTATTCCGAACCCCGTAATCCACAATACCAACGTGTCCGGAGCCACATCTAGGGCTAGAGAAGCTCATGGGATACGCGACCCTTGCTTTGTCAAGCCAGCCTGCTGTGCACAAGCTGTACCCTGCCTGCGGGATAAACATTAACACCGGGTAACATTTAGACAAGGAGCCCTAGTGGCAGCCAAAAACCAAAGTATTCTTTAAAGAGCACCACCTGCTGCGCATAGGACAGCTGCATGTAGGTAGCGATGGTGCTTCCCGCCTCCTTGCAGGCCTCCTGTGCCATGGTGTAGTTGAGCTTGTATGTTCCATTGGTGGAGCGATAATGGAAAACCCCTAATGTTTTATCTGAATGATGAGAAAGAGATGCTTTCTTTTTAAATCAATTAAGCTGACTGCACAGATGAGATTTTAAGGGCACCACAGGGTTAAAAACCATTAGCATAATATAACATAGGGCTAATAATTTGGCTTATTTGCAATAATAACAAATAGATTTGTTTAATTTTAATAAATGAATAACTTTAACATCTTAAAATAACTTAAATAAACTTAAAGACTTTAATTATATTCACAAATCATGGCACAAAAGAATGTTGACGGTAAATATTTCAGTCATTATTAAAAACTGCACTAAAATATTAATCAAATTTCATATTATTCCAATTTAAGTAGTCGTTTTAAGTGATGGACAATTTAAATACATTCAGAAATCCTTCTAATAATATAACAATAATTATAATATCTAATAATTTGCTTCATTGTAAATTAAAAAGAATCACAATACTCCTGCATATGAAGGATACATACCCTCATGGTGCAGGTCTGTGCACTGAGCATCTGAATGGCACTGTCCGTTATCTACTAGACAGCGATTGACAGGCAACACCTTTGCTTCACAATCGATCCCATCACCAACGTAGCTATCTTTACACTCACATTTCCTCTTACCCTGGAACACAAAACACATTACATACGCTTTATGGACCCAGAATTTGCATTATATTAAATATGAATGTCTTGCTTACAGGTCCAGTCATGGTGCAGGTGGCGTGTTCATGACACCCTCCATTTTCACCATCAACACAGGGGTCGATGGGTGTGCAAACAAAACCATCGCCAGAAAACCCTTGGAGACACGCGCAGCTCACTTTCTCCCCCTTCTGACTGCATTTCGCATCCTTTGAACAGCCGCCGTTCCAGTACTTGCACATATTGGCCACTGCAGAAGAGATCACAGTACAGTATGTGAATGGTTTGTTTTATCATCGACTAGTATCAATTTATTGAGATCTTAATGTACTGTGAGAAAAAAAAAGGTGACTCAACTTAAAATGAAGGCAACAAACTTCAGGACATTTTTGAGTTTACTCACCTTAAATCAAGACAAGTGCAGTAATTATGTTAAAAGTTGAGTCAACTCAAAAATGTCCTGAAGTTTGCTACCTTAAAATTTTAAGTTGATTCAATTCAATTCAATTCAGCTTTATTTGTATAGCGCTTTTACAATGTAGATTGTGTCAAAGCAGCTTCACATAAATGGTCATAGTAACTGGAACAGTGTGGTTCAGGTTTTAGTGTTTAAGTTCAGTTCAGTTCAGTTTAGCTCAGTTCAGTGTGATTTAATCATTACTGAGAGTTCAAACACTGAAGAGCAAATGAGTCACTGAATCATTGAAAGCACTGAGTCAACTTAGTTTTTTGTACAGTGTGTATGTACCTGTGCAGGTGATACCATCTCCCTCATAGAAGGGCTTACACACACAGGTGTTGTTTTCCATGCAGACGCCCTTCTCATGGCAAGCAGGATTGCAAACAGGACCATCGGCTAAAAAACAAAAATCAGACATAAGGGAACTGCAGTTTTTACCCTAATCTGGTACTTCAATTAAAAAGGAAAAGAGTAACAAGAGACTGCGTACCTAATTTGTTTTCACATTGCGGACCAGTCCAGCCCTCTTCACAAAAACATGACCCGGTACCTTGAAGACCCTCATCACATGACCCATGTTCTGTGCAATTGCAGGCTTAGGAGGAGGAAACAATAGAGGAGTTCATTAAACAAATCATATCTGCATTTGTAGTTTAACTCTATAGTTATTGATGCGTATTAGAAAAAGAGATACACAATACATCAACTGTTCCAATCTATCAGCAGAAAACTAAATTAGATGATATTTTCTTGAATTAAACGTAGTACAATTATAAATTCTAGCATCAAAAGCATTGTTAACACAAATAATACAAATATAACAATAATAAAATAACATTATAAAGAAAACAAACGCAATAGATAAACATTTGTAAATGCAAATAATCAAAAGGTTCAGCAATAAAAAGAATATTTCTGCATTTGTGAATGAATTTCAATGATTCAGTGACAAATACAGTTTTAAAAGTTACTTTTAAAGTAATAAATGAAGCAATAGTTGAACCCTAAAGTGTTTACTATTTTGATCACTGCTGCAGGCACTATAGGCAGTATTAGGATGCAATATATAAACTTTTATTCCAGTGATTCTATGATAAGCACAGAATTTATGATAATGTGTGGCTGAAAAGCCTAAATACTGAAGCTGTTTCATACAAACAATTGCTGCCATTGAGTTAAATGAACTGCAAAACTGATTGTTTGTTGTGACGGTGTGCAGAACTGCATTGAAAAGAAACTCACCGTTGCAATCTGGTCCAAAATGGCCATCCAAACACGACTCGCAGGCTACACCTGTAAATCCAGTGTCACAAGTACAGGTGCCATTGCCTAAATGATCCTCATCACATTTTCCATGGTTGCTGCAAGGAGATTGTGGACCTCCAGGGCATGCTGGAGAACAGGGTAATATTTGTCAGCTGGCAACTTGTCTATGTCTAAGGCACTGGTTCTCAAACTGTGGATCAGTGGCTTCCTTCTAGTGATATGTGGATGAATCAAATATGTCATATGTACATGCTACATGTACTTAAATAAATTATTAAAAAGATTTATATATGAATATGATGGCATAAAGCCTATATTTATGAGGTCTGGGCAACATTTCCAGGTGCTGATAAACCAGGAGTTTTTTCTCTTTTTCTTTACTTTTTAAAAACAATAGCCTACCATTTTGAACTTTTTGAAGCACATTTTAATTGAAATGTTTTTAATAATAGTAACTGATATGCATACACTTTAGCTGCTTTACTGGACCTAATACGCGACTGTATTTCAATACTGCTCATTACGGTGGTTCTTGCAAAGACAACTTTTTTCTGAGGTGGTACTTGATGACAAACGTTTGAGAACCACTGGTCTAAGGCATTCTCTGGTAAAACATTGTCAGAATTGATCTCAGAGCTCCAAATCCATTACAGCTCCAAGGAAATGACACATATTAGTATATTGAGACACTGCTTACCAAGACAGTCCCTGCCGTAGTACCCTGAACAGCACTTGGGCTTCCACACGACCACTTTACATGTTGATTGACATTTTGATCCCCTTGATATAACAGAATCTGGAAGGACACACTCTTGTTCTCCCTAGATTGAAGACAACGTAAATTTATGATGTGATTAACTGAAACATTACAATAAAAATAAACTACTTTAAATCTGAAAAGGACTAATCATCCATAAAGGAAAATTCTGTCATCATTTACTCCACTTGTTCCAAACCTGTGTGCGTTACTTACTTCTAATGAACACAAAATAATATATTAATGTAATAATTATAGTATATATAAATAGTATATATATTCTTATGTGTTCAGCAGAAAACAGAAGCTATAATACAAGCTTGGAAGAACTTGAGGGTGAATAAATCATAAGCATGTTTTATTTTTGGGTGAACTATCTCTTTAATATATATTTTAACATGTTGTTTATTTCTGTAATGAATTCTCAGCAGCATGTCAACTGTTAACACTGTTGAACATTAATGTTAATAATGATGCATTTCTTCATACTTATTTTTGGTCAATTTAATACTTCATTGCCATACTCCATAATATAATAATACTAATGCAAGGTTTTAATGTAATAATAAAAAATTACCACTGGCTTGCTTCCAAGTGGACAATCCATAATACTGCTCCCACAACTCCGGCAAGCTAACTATTACAGCAAAAGAAAAAAAGCACAATGTTTTTCAACATACTTGATTTGAATCTGATCACTTTAAATTGAATACAACATAATACACACATTCTGCAACGTACTACAAGGATATTATTTTTACCCATTTAAAATGCTTAAAAGTTAGCTGGGACCCACCGTGAAATCAATGGTTTGCCTGTGATCACAACGTCCCCCAAGGCTTGGAGGATTCAGCAGACATTCAATGCCATAAATCATGCCTCCATTAAAATCAAGATATCTCTTTACAATACGACAGCCTTTATGATTCACATAAAGCTCCCCCTAAAAAAATCAAATAATAATAATAATAATTATTATAATAATATTAATAAATACAAGATACGACCCAATATATACATATATGTGAAAAGAAAGGCAAAATATCTCACTATTTGCTCTTCCCCCATGCAGGCCACTGACAGATCTGAGCCCTGCTGAGTTTTCAAAGAGCTGGCGTAGATGAGTTCTGAAGCCATGAGCTAGCAGATATGCCCACACACAAATTTGAAACATATAAACGATGCATTAGAGATCAATACTGTATTTCCTTTCATGATGAATCAGTCTATATCATTAATACCAGCATGCACTTGCCAAAAAAATTGAAAACACTGGATAGAGGCCAACCTTGGTGTCCCGCAGGATGTGGTATCTGAGATACTCAGATAGTTTATCACGATTATGCATTGCATACAGGAAGTCTTTCTGCTCTTGAGACAGAGCAGACATTGCATCATCCGTGGGCATAAACAGTGTGACTGGCTGATGAATCGGGTCCATCACCAACTTCAATGTATCAGTGTCCTTAAGGCAAACAAGTTTTTAAAGAATTCAGAGAAAAATAAAGTGTTTTTTTGTTAATTCCCCTTAATTTTATGTTACATAATCTTGAAAACAGATCTATAAAACCTTACTTTACTAACAAAGTGTGTTCTGAGGTTAATGATTTATGTAAATAACACTGTATAATTCAAACAGTATTTGACTGTAGGACAGTTATGCGGTATGTTACTGTATTTTAAAGTTGCATTGTGAAAATTGCTGCATATTTTACAATAAAGAAACACATAACTTACTGTAAATACACATACAGCAAGATAAATAGTGCTGTAAACACAGTACTTTTGCTTTAATTAATTTACATAATTCACTGACAAACTACTGCCAGTAGTTTCATGTAGAGTTTACAGGAAGTTGTTTACAGTGTACTAATAATGGTGCTATTTTACCTCAAGAAGCTTGAAGAATGTCTTGAAACCATTGGCACTGGCCACTTCTGAAAAGTTACGCTGTCAGAAAAAAATAGATCTGTGTTATTTAATAATCCCATGCTTGATTTATTCAACTTGGTATTACTAAATAAAGGCATCCTGCTAATGCATACCGGTATGATGTCTTGCTTTTTGTCTTCCCGAATCTCTAATCCAGGTGGGACCAGGACAGAGTCGATCTCGTGTAAAATTCCGTTGCTGCTTTCAATATCGCTGAACAGCACTTTGGCCTTGTTATTGATGTATATAGTATTCTGGAAACAAATCGTGTGCTTAATATGTTTCATTTGCTGTCGTGTTATTTGCTTATGCATCAGGCACACTGTACCTCAGAGTATGTGATGGAGAGGATGTCCCCAGAAAGTGTGGTCAGGTTACGAGGCTGCATGAGGTCTTGTGGAAGGAGGGTCCGGCAGCACACTATGTGGTACCTCATGATTCTGGTGTTTTCAGGAGTCCGCTTTACAAGATCTATTGACTGTACAAAAGCAAAACATATTAGTCAAATCCCATCACAGTATCTGGTACTGATTCTCATTATATTATGTAGATATAAAGACTATTTGAAAGTGGAAAATGTTTTGTTTTAGCTTACAATGGCACAATTAAGATGTTTTTTTTTGCACTAAATAATCATTGAATTTTTTTGAGTTAGTATATATCTGTTCCTATATAAGTTACTGTTTAAAGTCTCAGCAGATATCAGTCACTTGCGTCAACAATCCTGACGGATCTTTCAGCTTGTGCTGCAAGCTAATAGGTTCACTACTGCAGTCTGCCAGCCAGTCAGCTTGCATAATCTTTTAACGAGCAAACGATCGTTCAACTTGTCAGCCAATGAGATTCTAGACTTTTTGTACCTCTAGTGCTTAAATAGCCAGCTTCAGCCATTTGCTGTAAACAGCTTCATGGGAGCAGTGCTTGTGGTCTTTGTATGGCAATGTCTGGTAAGGGAGTTATTCATTTTTAAAATACTTTTTTTTTTTTTCTTCTTCTTCTTCTTCCAGTTGTTGTTTTGCAAGGGTGCATTATCATAAGTTGCTGTTTAATATCCTGCTATTGCTAAAAGTAAATGTAACTGTTTCTACCAAAACTTGTTATAAGGCCTTTTTTTATTTTTATATGGTATAGGTTGATTCAAATGATGTGCTTAATCTTTAACAGTTTTTGTTTGGCTTCACAGGTTAAAGGTTTGGAAATAAGGCAAGTGATTTTTCCTTAATTTATTTTTCTAGTCAAGTTTAACGCTAATTGATTGCACCTGACCTACCTAATCAAGTGCCTGTCTAATTTTTGGTTGCTAATTATCTTTCAATCCTAATGAAATACACCTGGTCAATGTAATTAGGCCCTCAGCTAATGTTCTTAGACTAGCCTTTTATTAAGTTCCACAACTTCTGTTGGAAAGTGAGGGTGAGTGAACCTTTTTGAGTGCTGCTGAACTCTTGCTTTAACCTTTAAATTAAATGCACAATATAATTGTTTTTCTTTCCAGGTGTGTTGGAAAATGAGGGTGTTAATGTTGAGTGCTGCTGAATTATCAATCTTAAATACACCTGGTCAATCTACTTGCGTCCCTCAGCTTTGTTCTGTGTCCAACCCTTTCGTGTTCCACAAGTTGATGATGGAAAGTGAGGGTGAGTTGACATTTTTTGATGCTGCTGCACTCTTAATTGAACTTAAATGCAAAGTTTAGTTTTTTGACTAACACTTGTGCGCTTCCCATCATAGGATATCAGTGAGTTCTAATGTGACTCCTAATGTTGTCAGTTTCTCAGGTTTGTTAAAGTGAGGGTAAGTGAACAACTGGGTGCTTAATTCTTGCTGCTTCAATCTTCAAAGTGCACCTGGTTAATCTAAGTTCCTCAGTTTGTTCTTAAACTAACCCTTTTATGTTCCACAGGTTGATGTTGGAAAGTAAGGGTGAGTGAATTTTTTTTATTTGCTATGTGCTTAACTCTTGCTTTTTTTTTTTAAATTTATTTATTTATTTTTTATTGCACCTCAAATCTAATGCAGTTTAATTTATTTCCTACAGGATAATTAAGTTTGGAAAGGTGATTATTTGGGTGCAGCTGTATCATTTTTGCTTCAACCTTGTGCAATAGATCTAAACTGCAGGTAAGTGTAACTAGATATTTCCTTCTAATTCTCACTTAATATATTAATCTTCAAATTTTGTATAATTGACATTTTCTTCAACTAAACTAACTTTTTTGTGTCTACAAGTACATGTTGGAGGTTTGGAAAGTGAGGATGAGTGAACATTTTGAGTACTGCACTGAGTGAGTTTGCCTTAAACCTCGATTAAATGCACCTGGTCCAGCTAATCAAGTCCCTTTAATCTCAGGCTTAATTACAGGTAGGTGTATGGGAGAAGGTTTGAGGCATTAACTTGCATCTGGGTTTAAAATTATAGGCACTATAACTTGACTAGTTAGAACTGTTTAACTGCAAAAATGCTTTTAGTCTAAATCATCTTAAATCCACTTTCTTTTGAAATGATATAGATTTGTCAAAAGTAATGCTTTAAGAATTAAGAGTGACAACCATGCTAAATATTTTTCCACTTGAATCTGTTAATATTTTACAGTAGGTTTGCTGGAGCCGTTGTGTATATAATAGTCTTCAAACCTCAGTTTGTAATGCATCGTGCTATTATGTCTGATTCTAGACTTTAAAACACTAATGTCTTTGTGTACTAAAGTGAGATTTTAATTTTTGACTTCAACCAAATCATTGCAAGTTTAACTCTCCCCTGTATGCTGCTTTTCTCACTCTTACCTGGTTTTTATAATTTTCTGATCTGAAGGCAAAGACTGTAAAGGGGCCACGGGTGTCAAGTTCATAAATACGGTTTTTCTGTTAATAATAAAAAAAAAAGGGGGGTTAAGTCAATTTCCAAATGAAATGCATATCAATGTTAAATTAAACTTACAAACATTGCCTTGACAAATGCAGTCCTTGCAGTTTCGATTGATAATTCCTAAACAAACAAAAAATTAGTTGCAGTAATGGGAATTAAGTTTATTTTTGTTTTTCTTTACTGTACTCTTTGCAGGGTATATTTGCAGATCTCTCCATCTCCAACATAACCAGCATGGCATGTGCAGTTCCGTTGCAGGGGTCCTGTCATAGTACAAATGGCTGCCCTATGACATCCTCCGTTTTTCTGACAAAATTTATGCAGTTCAATGTGAATACAATGTTTGTTCGATATAATCCAATTTTTTTTTACTTTAACTTCTAAGTAAAACTACATGTTCTTAAAGCATAAACTGTTAAATATGGTAATATTTTAAGCAGAAGCATGTACCTCCTTACAAAGATTGATAAGTTCACAATTCTTTCCATCCTTATAAAATCCCTCCTTGCAGTGGCATGCTGTCTGAAGTAGAGAAATTCTAATTAGTGATTTATAAGGGGTCAAACTCAATTCATGGAGAACTATAGCTCAGCACAGTTTAGTTCCAACCGTAATCTCATCTGATCAAACCAATTTAAGCTTGTCTAATACCTGTAGTGTAAAAGCTGGGCAAAAACTGAACTGCAGAGCTGTAGCCCTCTAGGTATTGTAATTTGACATCCATTGTATTTTCATTGTTAGTAACCTGTCTCCATTTAAGCATTTGTTTTAGCTATAACTGAATTTTGAAGTTACAGCAATGTTTTAGTAAGTATTTTGTCTTGAATTATTTTCAAATGCTATGTGTGTTCTTTAACTCTGCAGGAAGGCAAAGTTGCATGAATAGGGATAAACACCACTGCTGTACATAGTTCAACTGCAACCCTGTTTGAACACTACTAAACTTGAACAGGATTTGGAGTATTTATATAATTATAGACTGGTGTGTTTGATCAAGGTTGTAGTTGAATTTTGGACGAGGGTAAATCTTTAAGCAGCTTTAACACTATCTACATTGTAAAAGCACTAAATAAACTGAAGTGGCATTTTGAACTATAGATTCTTGTTTTCATAATATTCATTTTCATTGTTTAAATGCATAAACTCATTTGTTAAGCATGTTAGAAAGGTACAGGTAGAGTTGGTGGAATTTTGCTGAGCTTTGGCTTTCAGGAACTAAGTTTGACATTCATGCTGTTAAAAGACAGTTTAAAAGCAATTTAAAACGAGATTGTAGTAAATGTATGGCTTTTACACTTATTTAAATACTAAATTCAACCCAAACTCTACTTACTTTATTAGGGCCTGTATGAATGCAGTTACTATCCGCATGGCATCCTCCATTTACACCATCCAGGCATGGATTGATGGCTTAAGGAAGATGCACACATTAAAATATTAAAATACAATGTAACAGTAAAATTGAGATGGAGTATTTTAATCATCAAACATGTTAATGGAAATGTTGCAAATAGTTAACTATAGTATTAATTATGTACACCCCCATAAAAACTAACTGTAGAAGTACACATTCACACTTACAAGTGCAAACATTTCCATCGCCTGCATAACCTGGATGGCACATGCATATTCTCCTTCCGGGAAGAGTGCGCTTGCACACCGCATGGGCTGAGCAACCTCCATTCCTCTCTGCACATGCATCTATAGCTTTAGTGGATGATAACAGCATGTATTATATTAAATAACTTCTGATATGTATTATATTAAATGAGTTCTTAAGATGAATACCTTCACAATATGTGCCGTTTCCCTGAAATCCTGCAGCACAACTACAGTAATATGAGCTGTCCACCACATTCACCAAGCAGCTACAATTAAAACACAAGTTTAAACCATGTGTTTGTATGCAAGCATGTCACAAAAGCATTTGACCCAGTTAAAAACCCAAAAGGTGAGGGGTATTTGCAATTAATGTCAAGCAATAAACCAATTTCAAACCACACCTTCAGTTAGTGAAGTGCAGCTGTTTCTAATTCAACTAATCCTGTCATGACACCCTTTGGTGAAATGTGATTTTTAATGAAGTATGCATTTACCCAACAACCTTTTAGATGGTTTTTCTTGTTTGCATAATCCAGCCATCAAAAAACAGGCCACACACACACACACACACACACACACACATATATATAAAATTTAAAAAATAGCGTACTGCTGTAATAATTGGAAATATGTGTAAAAAGGTCAACATTTGAAGTGAATCATCACTTTTCATCAAAACTATTTAACAGCCATTCTTGTCTTGGGACAATTTTGATCCATTTCAAAATCTTGATTACTAAACAATAGTCTACACCCACCAAGCAATTTTGCATTTAATAGAAATCTAGCATAGTTGTCTTTGCTAAAAAAAAAAAAAAAAAAAGAAGTGATAGATGCCTAATAATAGCACAAATTACACTGATCATCAAATAAACAGACAGAATTCACATTTAGTTATTTATTCTGTTGATGACCAGACTAGTTTTGGGCTATTCTTCGACATCTATAGCCTTTTTAAAGCAAAGATGTCTAAGAATAGCTCAAAATTACACCAATCATCAAATAAACAGGCAGGATTCATGTTTAATTATTAGGTATTTCATGACTAGTCTAGTTTTGGGGTATTCTTAGACATTTACTGTATTAGAATTTCACTGACAGCCCAAACTTTGCCTTGTTTTAGTTAGGACGTCTATTAGACTTCTTTAAACAAAATAATGATGGCTGGGTGTGCTTTTCAAAGCATTAAATAGTAGAATAATACCTCTTTGATAGTAATTAGAAGGCAAACTTACTTGGCACTGCTGTGGCACTTTCCTCCGCACATATCTGATTTAATAGCTGAAAACAGTCCACATGGCTTCATTTTTATTTGCAGTTTACAAAGTATTTATGTGATGAATACCTTTTGAGATCAGTGCATGTGTGAGTTTATGCAGTAGGTTAATATCATACCAATGTCGCAGTTTACTCCTCTCCAGCCCAGATCACATGCACAGCTGCCATCTCCATCTATACCATCTTTGCAGCGTCCGTGGACACACTTGCACTCTAAACAGAATGTACAGCTATTATTAAAGCTCATTGTTATATCAGAACACAGTATGAGCCTTTTAATTGGCTAATACCTTGATCACAATGAATTCCATATTTGCCAGGCTGGCAGGATTCACATGCGGTGCCGTTAAAGCCCTGGTTGCACAGACAGACCCCTGTGCCATTGATGCCGTCTTTACATATGCCGTTGCCAAAGCAAGACTGATCTTCGGATCCCGGGCACTTCTCACAGTTGATACCATAATGACCCGAACAACATATTCTTTCCTTTAAAAAGAAATTGATATTTTACTTAAACATGAACATTTTCCATGCTGAATTCCAGAAGGCTGTGAAAACCCAATGACTGTATAATGTACATACAATGGTCATTTTCTCACAAGAAAATTTACATCCAATGGTCAGCAGTGTGTCTCCATGCAACACCCGGCTGTACATGCATCTTCTCTTTCTGCTCATCTGATAATAAACAAATAAAGCATTATTATTACTGTAATTAACAATAGTCGGAATTATTTAAATGAACTCTAAGCATGTTATACAGTGAGCATGCATTGAAAAACAGCAACCCTACAGTGTGCCTGCAACTGACGAATGAACAAACTAACTAAACACACTAGCAATGGTTTTCTTTTTTTACTTTTATCATATGATTATGACCGTGTTGTTTTTTGTATATATTACATATAATATATGTATATTACGTATAACAAATGCAAATATTCAGTCGCTATTTCATGATTGTGACAAAACGTGTGAATGATTCAGTTACTGACTTGTTTACAAAAAATAGACAGTCCCTTGTCTCCATCTAGTGGCTCAATTGCAAAAACACAACCAAAGGGGGTTTTAGACAGAAGAATTAAGAAAAATGTAAAAATGACTTGAAATAAAAAAAAATATAGCACATCAGTGTTTCAAAAATAATTATGTCAATTGTGCTAATAAATAAATAAATAATCATAATTCAGGCTTTAGACAAAAAATAATAATGTAATATAAATAATATTTAGTGGGAATTATTCTAATGAATTCTAGGCATGTTATTAAGTGAGCGTACATTAAAAAACAACAACAACCCAACAGTGTGTCTGCAACCAACTAACTAAACACACCAATATTGGTCGTCTTTAATATAATTAAGAGGCCATGGATAAAAAAAAGTGTGTGCCTGACAGTGTTGTTTTTGTATAATTTAGCAAACAAATGCAAATATTCAGTCGATATTTCATGTTTTTTAATGAAATTGTGACAAAAAAAGTGAACGATTCAGTCACTGACTCGTTTACAAAAAAGACTTGTCTCCATCTAGTGGCTCAACTGCAAAAACGCAACCAAAGGGGTTTTTAGACTGAAAAATTTGGAGAAATGTAAAAATGATTAGAAAATGTAAAATATAGCACATCAATGTTTCAAAAAGTATGTTTGTCAATTGGGCAAATAAATAAATAAATTAATTAAATAAATGATCATGCTTTAGACAGAAAATGATATTGCAATATAATTAATATTTGGTAAGAATTATTCAAATGAGCTTTAGGCATGTTATACAGGGAGAATGCATTAAAAACAACAACATTAGTTAGTGTGCCCACAACTAACTAACTAATGAACTAAACACTAATATTTTTTTCAATTTTTTTTTACTTTTATCATATGATTAAGTGGTCGTAGATAAAAAAAAAAAGTGTGCCTGACAGTGTTGTTTTTGAATAACTCAGCAAACAAATGCAAATATTCAGTCAATGTTTCAATTATTTAAAATTGAAAATTTTTTTTATTTTTCAAAATTAAAAACGTGTGAATGATTCAGTTACTGGCTTGTTTACAATATAAAACAGTCCCTTGTCTCCATCTAGTGGCTCAATTGCAAAAACGCAACCAAAGGGGTTTTTAGACAGAAGAATGAGAAATGTAAAAATGAATAGAAAATTTTAAATATAGCACATCAATATCTCAAAAGGATTTTTAAGTCAGTTGTGCTAATGCAAACAGCATATATTTTGCAATTTTCTTTAATGTCATTCTCATTTACTTTATTAAATACATTTTACAGTAGTTTTACTACTAGCAGTTGCACCCAGGCAAACTAAACAGAACAGAAGTGATGTAATTATAATTGTGTGGATGTATTGGTGGACATCAGTTGTGACACTGCACAAATGTTTTCAACTGTGACTATAAAAGTGAATCCTCCATTATAATTGATCAAATATTTTTGACACTCACCACTTTTTTAGTTCCTGAAGGACATGGGTTTATAATTGTTTGGAAACAGTCCATGCAACGTCCCTACAGACACAATGTACACATTAAGGATACCCGTTTCAGTAATACAAGACTGTAATATCTACTAGGTTAAACAGTTGTACTGTACCGAGAAAAGAATACTGGTAGCTTTGTCACAGCGATTGCTGGGGATGTTGAGGACAGCAGATATGATGTGAATGACGCCTTTACTGGTCTCCAAGTCTGTCACATTCACCTCAGCCTCATTTACAAGCAACTACGATAGAAAAATCCCAAATATATCAATGATTAAATATTTATGACAGAAATGAGTTGTGTTGCGACAACATGAAGACATTTAAGTTGTTAGATTGAACATAAAACAAATAAGCTGTCCCAAAATAAACTCAAATATTGGCTTAATAAGCTCAATTTAATCTCTAAAAACTCAACAAATGGCTTATTATTTTATAGAAGTAGTTTGAACCGACAGCAAACATTAACATATCTGGCACGCACTCTCTTATCTTGACGGAAAAATCCCAGTTGGTATTGGAAGCCCAGCATGGTGTCCTTGTACAGTCCATCCACCAAATCTACGTCTTTTAAAATCTCAGTCAGTATAATGTGATACATGGTCACATTCAAATCCTAGAAAACACACACACACACACACACACACACACACACAAAATACATGATGCAAGAATGAGATGCTATACTGCATAATATTAAATAAGGCTATGCATATTAGTGTGTTTGTATGATACCAATGATTCTTTGCCTGTTCTTTTTAGGTAATCTTGTATTGCGTTGTCTGTTGGAGCAAACACTGTAAAACCCAAAGATTCCTCCATTTCGTTTGTCAGGTTGTGGTTCTGGATAAATGCAAGATAAGTAGAGTAAGATCTTTGCTTTTCAGTAATATATTAGATATACCGTTAGCATGTGCATGATTATGGTGCTACACCCACTACAGAGAAAAAAAAACAACCCAGAAACATTTACAGCACAAAATTATTGGAACATGGTTAAAATGGCTCAATAATGTGAAACACTAAAATCAACAAACTAGTCTATAATTTGACAATTTAATTTAATAATTGATTAACTAATCCGAATCCCGGTTAAATTGATTATTTACACTAATATTTAGTATATATGAATATAGTAAAAATATGAATATTTACATATATATGAACATGTTCATTAAAAATATGTCATAATACTGTGAAAGAAAACTAAATGATTTAATTGAAATAGCCTATAGGTTGTAATGAAAAATGTACAAATAATTCATGAACATGCAACACATCAGCTCAATTACATACAATAAGTAATACATTTTAAAATAATCGCATTATTAACACTTTCATAATAGCATTTTGGTGGCCCATTTTAACCCAATGGTCAACATTGTTCTTTATTTACAGTACTTCAACTATAATTTACAGTCTATAAATCTAAAGATGGATGGATGGATGGATGGATGGATGGATGGATGGATAAAACACTCACCAAAAGAGAGCCATAGAAGAGAGAGAGATCAGACCTCTTTTTCAAAACCTGCAGTAAACCTTCACTCATCTGCTGCTCTGGGATCAGCACCTGAAGAGAATGACACACTTGTTCAATCTGTATTTGTTCTGCATTTGTATGTGCATATATACAAGTCACACACAATTTTACAACCTTTTCTGCACAAGCTTATTAGTAAATGATGTTTATTTGAAAACAATACAGAGAGAGGCTGGGGTCGTACTGTGTCAATAAGATGTATAACTCCATTCTTTGCTGCCATATCTCCAAATGTAATTTTTCCTCCTGCAACAATGGTTGTCTGAATAAAAAGACAAAAAAGAAAAAAAAAGATATAGAAAACCTCTTAAAGGTTAATGACAGACACAATTGGATTGGGAGTAATCAGCAAAGATAAGATGTTTTCCTCTTACATCATTGGTCGAGTAAACAGGAAGTGTCCTTTTCAAAAGGGAAACCAGTCGTGGGGGTGGGGATGGGGAGGTGTTAAGATCACTGAGAGTAAAACTCCCAGAAAGGATGTGATTTCTGTAAGAGATTAAAAAACAGCTAGTTAGTGAAAATGGGCTGTATGTATAGTAAATTAGCTGATGGGGCTGCATGTAAATTCAGTGCTGTCCTTACTTGACAAGACTTGGAAGGTTACTGGGGGTCATCCAGATGTCTTTGTCTTCTTTACTCATTTTCTCTATGGCTTGAGCCGACGGCACAAATAGTGTGAGATTTTCTCTCTCTGACAGCAGCTGAGAAAGTTCTGCTTTCTATGATGTGTTCCAGAAGACAAACAGTCAAAAATTATAGTCTAACAAGAATATATGAAAATAAAAATCAAAAAAGTTAGCCTTGAAAATAAATAAACAAACAAACAATCATATTTCAGACAGAAAATAAAAATGTAATATAAATAATATTTAGTAGGAATTATTCTAATGAGACATGTTATTCTATTATGTTATGCATGGTATACATCTAGACATGTAATGCTAACTTGCTAACTAACTAACTAAATAAACAAAAATATAAATAAAATAATAAATAAAGATACTAATATTGGTTTTCTTTTTCTTTTTTTACTTTTATCATATAATTAAGAGACAGTGGTTAATAGTGTGTGCTTGACCGTGTTATTTTTGTATAACAAACAAATGCAAATATTCAGTTGATATTTCATGTTTTTGACAAATTTGTCACGAAAAACGTGTGAATGATTCAGTCACTGACTTGTTTACAAAATATAATACAGTCCCTTGTCTCTATCTAGTGGCTCAATTGCAAAAACGCAACCAAAGGGGTTTTTTGAGACGACACCATTTTTGACAACAACAAAACTACGCAGTATTGTGTATTTGTGGCCACAAAATACAATATTCTAAATTTTAGTTTTTGAAAGAAGAAGAAGAAAAAAAGAAGTAATTTTTGTGAAAAGTGTGACCATGGGTTTCGGCCTAACCTGCATAAGTTTTGAGTATTTAGTCATTTCAGCAGATTCATGTGCACAGGGATTGTTTAACGTTGCTACCTGCACATACAGCCTCTGAAATACTGCTTAGCAGAATTATTCAAATGAACGCTTAGCATGTTATACAGTGAGCATGCATAAAGCAACAACAACCCACCAGTGTGCCACTAACTAACTAACTAACTAACTAACTAACTAACTAACTATTTATTAATTAATTCATTCATTCATTCATTTTCTTTTTGGCTTTGTCCCTTTTTTAATCAGGGTTCGCCACAGAGGAATGAACCACCAACTGGTCCAGCTGTAATCCAACACTGGGAAACACCCACACACTCTTGCACACATTCACATACACTATGGTCAATTTAGCTTATTCAATTCACCTGTACCACATGCCTTCGGACTGGAAAATCCAACTGACAAAGCAGGGGCTCGAACCAGCAACCTTTTCTTTTCTTTTCTTTCTTTTATCATATAATTAAGTGGCCGTGGATCAAAAAAAAGGTGTGTGCTTGACAGCGTTGTTTTTGTATAATTTAGCAAACAAATGCAAATACTCAGTCAATATTTCATGCTTTTGATGAAAAAAGTGTGAATGATTCAGTTACCGACAAAAAATAGACAGTGCCTTGTCTCCATCTAGTGGCTCAATTGCAAAATCGCAACCAAAGGGGTTTTTAGCCAACACCATTTCTGACACAAGTCACACAACAACAACAAAACAAAGCAGTATTGTATATTTGTGGCCACAAAATACAATTTTCTAAATTTTAGATTTTGAAAAAAGCAATTTTACAAAAAAGTTGAGCAAAGGTTTTGGCCTGACATCTATAAGCTTTAGTCATTTCAGCAGATTCATATGAACAGGGGTTATTTAACGTTGCTACCTGCACACACAGCCTCTGAAATACTTGGCAAATCAATGATAACTATTAGCTATAGTTGCTTTTAAACAAATGTCAACATAAAAAACACACTAAAGTGTAACTTACGGAGATCCACTGGTTAAAACCCAGAAGATCTGGGTTTGTCGACACCTCCTGAAAAGCAAAATGAAACAATACATAGAATATTTATCAAATCAAAAACTCCTTTGAAGCAATAGCATCTGAGAGAGTATATCGTTTAGTAATGCCCCACCTCTGCATAGCATAATTAAAATGTATTCGACAATAAGAGAAACGCAGACAGCGCAGACAGAATTGTGCCACTCCCAGACTACATAGTAAACAGTAACTAGGTTTAGGTTTAGGTTTGACTTTATTAATCCCCAAAGGGAAATTCACATGTCACAGCAGAGCTCTCCATAGTAAAAATAGATAAATAAGTTACATATACATATAAAAACCCTAATAAAATTACATTTCATACTGCACACCTTATTTCCAAAAAACAACGAGTAAACACTTGTCCATATCTAATATCTAATTCAGTTCAGCACAATTCATCTGGTATGACTTTGGTTATACAATCTGATCACTGTTGGTAAAATAGACTCCCTGTATCTTTCTCTGTAACACCGGGGTTGAATTAATCTTGTACTAAAAGAGCTTGATAGTAGTATGCTTGTATTTGTAATATTCATAAAAAGGCAAGCAGAAACGGCTGCTTCTGGTGTACAGTCAGTGGACATGTATTTAGTATCCCATGCTGGCACAGGAGAGGGTTTGTGAAAGGAAGTGTCACCTGCCAGTTTTGTTGTAAAGCAAGTCTCAAATTGAAAATAGCACCTAGTATTTAGCCTTATATATAGCGCTGGACTGAATTTACTAGAACTTCATCTATGTTAAGCTGCTTTCACAGCATCTACATTGTTAAAAGTACTATGGACATAAATTAAGATGTATTACCTGCAGTAAAGTCCCATAACAAATTTTCCCGTCACCAGCATAGCCATCTTCACACACACAATGCCATCCATCTGGGTTCAGGAACTGGCAGGTGGCCTATGGGAATGTGGGAAAATTACAAGATGTGGCTGATATTCATCCAATCGCATGCCTTGTTTGGTCTGAACACTGACCAGGAAATGGCATCCACCCTTCTGCTCCACACACTGATTGACAGGTTCACACTCCCTCCCGTTGCCGTGGTAACCACTTTTGCAAGCACAGTCAATCTAAGGTGGGATAACATTCATCAAAAACCCTGCAGATCTAGATAGACGTAGTTCTGGAAGCACGACGGCGTCTCTCACCTGTCCTGGCCCCACGTAGATGCAGGTGGCATTGGGGTGACACCCTCCTCTAGATGGATCCAGACAGTTATTAATGGCCTGGCACTCATCTCCATCCTCCCTCCATCCACTCAGACACTTGCACTTGTGTGTCCCGGGACCAGTCTTTATGCATATGGCCTGAGAGGATACGAGAATACACATATTATCATGACATGCTTAAGTGAAGCACGAACACACAGATGTATAAGGATTAATGATGTACGTTCACCATTTATTTATTGTAATACTGGCGTTCCACAGGGATCAATACTTGGACCAATTTTGTTTAAGTTATACATGAATGATTTACCTGCAGATTTACGACACAGCAGTATATACCCACACAAAAACCAAAGAACTAGCTGCTAACAAACTTACTGCTGCATATAAGAAAGTGTCAGACCGGTTACAATGCAAGTAAAACTGCAGGAATGCTTTTTTTAATCAAGTAAACTGAGGAGCATTGCCAGATATTTAAGTTAATGGAGAAGCAATAAACATTATTGATCATTTTAAATATGTAATTATGGATTCTAATTGCTTTAATTATCTAATATAAATCGAATTGATTTATAGAAACATCAGGCATCAGTTATTAAGCTAAACTTTTTATGAATACAGTGGTCTTGCCTCATTTATCTTATTGTACTACAAGTTGGTCCCACAGGAACATTACAACATTAAAACCATTGATTATTATTCATGAACAAACTAAAGCTTTTAGTTAAAGGGGCAAGGAGCTATCATTACTGTAATTGTATTGAACAACATAAGGCAAGGTTTATTTATAGAGCAGAATTTTACACAACCGTAGTTGATGCAAAGTGATTTACAATAAAATAAAATATTTAATAAATAAAATAATAACACTTTTATTAAAAATATAAGAAAAGGAAAAACACATTTGATTTTTATTTTATTTTATGCTGATGTGTGTTTAATGTATAAAATATTTAATGATCTTGCACCACCACCTCTTAAACAATGTGTGATTGTCTGCAAGGACAATATATGATGTAAATTAGCTTTATAGCAAACTCTGGCACAACATGTCATGTATTAAATTGTCCCTGTATGTATAAATAAAAAAATTATAAAATAAAGTAAAATTAATTAAGTAAATTAATTAAAAAATTAAATTAAATTAAATTAAATTAAATTAAATTAAATTAAATTAAATTAAATTAAATTAAATTAAATTAAATTAAATTAAATTAAATTAAATTAAATTAAATTAACTCCAGTTTCCCCCACAGTCCAAAGACATGCGTTACAGGTGAATTGGGTAGGCTAAATTGTCCGTAGTGTATGAGTGTGTATGTGAATGTTTGTGTGGATGTTTCCCAGAGATGGGTTGCGGCTAGAAGGGCATCCGCTGCATAAAAACTTGCTGGATAAGTTGGTGGTTCATTCCGCTGTAGCGACCCCAGATTAAAGGGACTAAGCCGACAAGAAAATGAATGAAAAATAAAATAAAATAAAATAAAATAAAATAAAATAAAATAAAATTAAATTAAATTAAATTAAATTAAATTAAATTAAATTAAATTAAATTAAATTAAATTAAATTAAATTAAATTAAATTAAATTAAAGCATTTGACTTACATTTTTGCTGCAGCCTCCGCGATGAGGTAAAGCGCAGGGATCACTTTCCATGCACATGTATCCATCTCCTTGAAAACCAGGTTTACAAACACACCTAAAATAAATCAATGTAACAGAAACAAGAAATATGCTACTTATGTTCTTGTTTTTTTTTTTTTTTATTAGCAAAACCCTGTAAATATCCCCTTGCAAAGAAAGTCTTTCAATTAAAAAAAAGAAGTAAAAGACACATTTTTAACATAAGATAAAAAATTTAACGAATAAATTATAACAGAATAATAATACTACTTTAAGAGTTCAAACTTAGCTATTGCTTGATAATATCAGCAGGCTTGGCATGCTGTCCCAGGAGAGAACCCTGAGCTCAGAGATAATTAAACCCAAGGCTCCTGCCTGGTCAATGACCATGTAAGTAGTTCTCGAGAACTCCCCATGGTAAAAGAGGAAAGGGGGAGATGGGGTGGATGGGGGGATTTTTTTTTTAAAACAAAGATAAGGTAGTGCTAGATGGTTTATATCTTTGACCACATGTGGTCTGTCTTTTCTAAATATGAGAGCCCCTGATCACTCACGTGAATGCTCCTTTATTGGACACACAGTTGGCGTGTGCATGACAGGGCTGGTTTGGTCCACACGGCTGGGTCTGCAGCTCGCAGTACTCTCCGGTATAGCCGTCTTTACAGGAGCCCTGCTTACATTTCCCACTGGCTTCTGGATGGTTATCGCATGTGCCATGTATGCACCAACAGGCTGGAAGCAAAAACACTACTATTAATCAGCTGGAATATTCACAAACCTCATTCAATGAAATGAATTTGTACTTTTGTCACAGTTCGGGCCATATTTGTTGGAGTCAGCGCAGTATTGGCAGCGCGATCCTTTGAACTTGGGCTCACACTGGCACGTGCCGTTTCCATCAATGCCTTCTGAGCACTAAAACAAAAGACAATAGGAGCTTATTTAATAAAAAAATACTACATAGTACACAAGGTATGAATGTGTGTAGGATTTACCGTCCCGTGAGAGGAACAGGGGGTGGTAAAACCACCCGGGCATGGGGAACAGTCAGGTCCAAAAAAACCTTTACAGCACTGAGGAGTCTAGTCAAGACAAATAACGGGTAATACGACTTTTGATAAGCTAGACGCAGCTGCAAATGATGCATAAATGTGTTAGACACAAAATGTCTAAAGTTAAATAAATACTCACAGTCTTTGTGTCATTGCAGATGTGGGAACAGCCAATGCTGGGTAAGCTCAGGCCAAGTTGCTTCTTATTGAAAACACAGCCTCTTCTGTATGCCTTCTGGAGTCATAAAAAGGTGGGGAAAAGCATCAAAGTAGTGTCACTGAGCACATTTTTATGAAAATTAATGCCAACCTAAAGGGTGGAATTTTAAACAAAGCTTTCATAATCATTTTTATGTAATCTTTATTGTTTTAAATTTTAAAATGCACTAATATTGAAAAAAGTTACCAGTGATTCACCAGTTGGACAAGTAGATTTGGAGATAAGTGTACAGCTAACACATGGAGCCTGTGACAAAGAGACAATGATCAATTATTACAAACAGCTGGAAGGCGACCTGTGTTGTAAAGAGAGAAAAAATAAGGTGAATCATGTACATGTTGAAGAAGTTAGTTATCTTAAAGTGCCCTCTCTGGTGTTGTAGTGGTGTCACTGTGTTTATGGTTTACATGTCGTCATTATAATATCCTGTTATGCTCTTTTAAACGTTCCAAATTTAGTTTAGGAGGTCTTACAAATTTAGACCAGGAGTACCCAAACTTTTTTCTTATGAAGGGCCAAAATCCAAGCTTGATTGAGAGCTCTGCGAATGTAAACATTGCAAACCGTATTACATTAAGACTGCCATGGAAAATTTCTTTATGTATTTAATAATTTTTAAAATAAATAGAAAAAATTACTTTGTATTTACTAATGGATTCTAATTTTCGAAAATGTATATTATTTTAACGGACATATTACAATAAAACCATTTTTAAAAATCCACTTATAAAACAACAGAGTTCATTGCCGAATACAGTGGTAATGCTGAACCGTGCCTTTGCCTTGATTTGCACGCCAATGTCTTTTGCTTTGTCCCCTTCTCCTTAAGTGACAGTATGTACATTTCTAAACAATCTGATTTATTTGCAACATTTGAGTGGAGGATTTAATTTTAGTTTGCTTTTTTTGTTGCTCAACAATAAAGCAAACAAACAAAAGGTTAAATGAGAATCTCTGTTAAAGGCATTCCCCAATCCTTCTCAATCATTTTTCCATTGGCGGGCCAAATCAAAGGAAACAAAGGGCCAACTTTGGCCCACGGGCCCTAGTTTGGGTATCACTGCTTTAGATATAACTATAATCAAAAATCTATTTTCTCATATAATGCACTAAAACATTAACTTCATTTCACAGTGCATGAAATGTCTGTCAGAAACCAAACTGTGCCTCGCCAACCTGATTTCACCAAGTAGGACATGTTCCTGGATTAACATCTATATGTATCCTGGAACAACATTTCACTCAGCCAATCAGAATTAAGGGATGCTATTTGTGTTTATGGTGAGTTTATGCACTTCAACATGAGTGCTATCCAAATATTAATCCTGAATTTGGAAATAATTTAAAGTTATGGATGGGTTTAGTAGTAGGGAATAGGTACATTTTCCAAACAAAAATGATGTTCCAGGACCAACACAGATGTTAATCCAGGAGCGCATCGTATTTGGCAAAACTACGAGGTGCAACTGTGCCTATATCAGCAAAATTGTATATGATTGCTTACCATATACTTAATGGGCTTTATGATGTCACACCTGTGAGGTAGGATGGGCTCTATAGACGGAGGTATCAGAAGACCCTCAAGTGAATGAAGACGGCCATTCTTTGCTTCAACGTCCAGTTCAATTACAGATTCCCCATTGACTAGAATCTGCCCCTATATGTGACAAAGTCAAATATTAAAAGCATTTTAATTCCAAAATCATCCTTAAAATGACTAATTATAAGAGCTTTTGTTTTCAGGGGCATCACTTTTATGTATTTAGACAATGAGGGCAATGGGATCACTAAAAAATGAAGAATCTGTCTTCATTTACCAAAGTGTTGTAAACAGTATGGAAAAAATGGTCAAAGGGGAGCAGAAACTGTCTGGTTACCAACATTCTTTAACTTATCTTCTGTATATGCTGTACTGTATACAGTACACATACTTAACGGTAAGTAAATGATGATAGATTTTCATTTCTGGCTGAACTATATCTTGAAATACTTCTGATGGCCACTGAAATAAACGTTCAAAATGCATAAAAAACTAGATTTAATGTTTTCTTTTTTAGCTGAATAGAATTATTACTTACAGCAGTAGTCACATTAAATGTCAGGATCTGTTCAGCCATGGTCACAGCACGAGGGTTTGACACAATAACATAGGCGCTTAGCTGTAAATACATATGACAGCCATTAGTAGTCAATGATTAAGAAATGCATTTGAACACATTTGTAGCCATCTGTATACAAACCGGAGTCGTGGACACTATGTGATTGCGCATCAGTTCAAGTAGTTTGGTTTTACCCTATAAGAGGAAAGAGAAAAGTAAAGTGAGGCTGATGACAGAACATACATTTATAAGTTAAAATGATTAAAAACCAGTTGTTATATTGTATGCTACCTCTTCAGATTTTAGGTAGGCTAAATAGTCTGGCTTCATCAAGGCAAAAGCCACATTTGTTGGCGCAAACAGTGTGTACGGTCCGTCTTCTTCTAAAACAGTTGCCAAATTGGTTTTCTGGAAAAAATAAATGGCAGAATTTAATAAGGAAATCCTTAAAAATATCATGATGGCCATCACAGGAATCATTTCAAATAGACAGTTGTTTTAAATTCCAATAAAAGGGACAAAAACGATATTAATAAGTCAAAACTCCCAATGACCCACAACAGTAAACAGGCTTTTTAAAATTTGAAAGATATTAATGAAATATCATTTCTAGCACAGATCAAATGTTATTTAAGGGTTTTTTAGAGTTTCAAGAGTTCACACTTAGCATGCTGTCCCGGGAGAGAGCCCTGAGCACAGATGATCCTCCAGCCTGGATCTCCCTCCTGTTTTATCGGGTTAGAGGGGAGTCTGAGCTCAGGTAGGTCTCGAGAGCTTCTATGAATTCATTCATTCATTCATTTTCCTTTGTTTATCAGGGGTTGTCTGATAAATTGTTGCCTGTAGGTTTTACACAGTGGATACCCTTCTGTTTGTAAGCTGTTTGTAAGTACTAAGAAACACCCATACACTCTCACACTAATATACTACTGCCATTTTAGTTTATTCAATTAACTTATGCTGCCTGTCCATCTCATCTGTCTTTCGGACGTTAAACCGAGGTCCTGACTCTCTGTGGTCTTTAAAAATCCCAGTTTCATCCTGGCCAAATTTTCCCACTGGCCAATGTCAATCATGGCCTCCTAACCATCCCCATATCATAATTGGCTTCATCACTTTGTCTTCTCTCCACCTATCAGGTGTCTGGTGTGGGGTCTGGCGCAAAATGGCTGCCATCCAGGTGGATGCTGCACACTGGGTGGATGAGGACATTCCCCCCTATGTGTAAAGCGCTTATTATTGCGTGTAGAGTGCCCAGAAAAATGCTTTATAAATGTAAGTTATTATTATTATTATTATTATTATTATTATTATTATGTCTTTGGACTGTGGGGGGAAACCGAAGTACCCGGAGGAAACCCATGCAAGCACAAGGAGAACATGCAAAGAGAACATGCACACAGAAACACCTGCTGGCACAGCCGTCAGCCAACAGTACTAACCACATGCCATCCTATCCTGAATTAAGCTAGAAAAAAGAAAGGAGTCGTGGTGGATTCTTCAAGACGAAAATGACTAAGATAAAGAAATCCGGGTATTTATGTGTGTTTTGGATTCATCTGATTGGTAGATCATAAGATAGCTAACGTGGGACCAGCCGTGGCCAATGATTAGCATGTGATCCTCTCGAAATCAGTTTATAAATAAACTTCACTTAAATCTCACCTCAAGCAGAGACTTAAACTGAGAGAACTTTCCATTTTTAGAGAGAATCTCCAGCAAGCTTTCCTGAAAGTAAGAGATAAAGGAACACTGTTGGCTCTTTCGAATAAACAAGAACAGCATTCGATGAAGACAACACACCTATTTTCACACACCTCTTTCTCGCTGATCACAGTGGAAGGAACTGCATCCATCAGCTTGTCGATCAAATGAATCATTCCATTTGAGGCAAAGATGTCAGACTCCACGAGCGCTCCTTTCTTACGGCTACCATGAAGACGTATCTTCACCTGCTCTGCCTTTAAAAGAAACATTTGTCAGATTTACGTTCAATGATTCTCTGGCGTCACACGTAGCAAAGCACACAAGATCTGAACAGGAAAGAGTCCGAGTAGTAAAGAAACAGGATGTGAAGATTCCTGCATTTGCACATCATTGAAAACAACTGGAAGACACACACACAACCTGCATTCAGTTACCTACATCTATCATTGATTCTGCACCCATGCCGGTGAGCGTATGGAAGAGGATTCCCTTCTTCAGAGACTCAGAGTTCACCTCTCCAGCAACCACGTGTAGCTTAGCAAGATAGCGAGCTTTCATCTCGTCAGCCAGCAGGGATTTCACCTGGAGCAAAAGCATGCTGTTAAATGTATCCGTATTATTTTCTTGTAGTGTGTAACATAGCTGTTTTTGTAAATGTAAAAGATCTGCGAAGTACTTCAGGATGGCAAAATAAGGTAGATATGATCAACAAATCATAGTTACTGAATGTGTGTGCTGCTTACGCCAACCTGATTTCACCATGTTGCTAGATCTATGTTGATCCCGAAATAACATTCCAATCAGCCAATCAGAATTAAGGGATATGTTTATGTTTCTGTTAAGTTTAGGCTTACGGTTAGGTTTATGCACTTCTACATGATTGTTATCCAGCTATTGATTCCCTCTGATTTTGGGAATAATTTACAGCTATGCTTGGGGAATAGGTATGGATTACATAAAAAAAAAAAAGAAAAAAGATGTTTCAGGATCGCATCATACTTGGCAAAATCATGACTGCTTAACTTACAGACGTGCCCTTAAAAGCCTTGTTCACTGGGACAAACACGGTAAATGGTCCACGAGCGGTTAAGAACCATCCTGTGACTTGATCTGAAACAGCAGAAATAATAAAATGAGCACTACATTGTGTCTTTTTTATATTTATCCTACCTTTAACATAAGGAAAAAATAATAATAATTTATTCTCAGTATTGTGAAGGCTTCAGTATGGTGACTGAAAGAAGTGCATGTAAAAAAAATAAACACATTTAAATACAAAAACACCAGCAAACTGAGACAATTATCGTCATCGGTTTGACAACACATGCGCATACATTCTCACGAAGCATGCAAACACAGAAACCCCTGCTTCCCGTTTAGAGTCAGTGTTTAAAATCTAATCATACAGTCTCTTGTTGTTTGTACACTGCAAAAAAATGCTTTTCTTCCTTAGATTTTTGTCTTGTCTAAATATATAAAAACTCTTAAATCGAAGCATTTAGCAGACAAGCTAAACATATTGTTTTAATAAATAATATGACAAAAGAATTTTCCCTTAAAACAACAGTCTGCCAATGGGCTAAAACATGACTGTTTGGTTGTTTTAAGAGAAAAAATCACCTAATTTTGGAAAACTTGTGGAAAAACATTTACATTCTGAGAAAACTCTTGCTAAGATGGCATTAAAATAATCCTTGATTTAATGTTAATTGTGCAGTTTGTCAGATTATTTGGGCTAAAAATACGCAAACAGCAAGAAACCGTAAATCCAGGATGTTAAAAAAAAACACTTCTCCGATTTCTGACAACTCAGCTGCCTCTAAACAGGAAGCAGCCGGGGTCATTACATTTTTAGGGTGTCCTGACTGATGTGATCTGCTTGATGTGATTTCTCTACTTGTGTGTGTTGTGAGATTTGCATGCAAGCTTGTTATAAATCATCATGATGAAAATGGTGTCTCCATTTGTTAGCATTTTTGTATTTGCATGTGTTTGCAGCATGTTTGAGCTCTCTCAGCCACCATACTTCAGCCTAATCTTAATTTCTGAAACAAACAACAATAACCCTCCCTCCAGTGGGATTGGTTCCCTGTAAACCCTAATGTTCAAAATAATTAAATTGATTGAGTTGTATGAACTCAATTTTCTTTTCTTTTTTTTAATTCTTTGTTTGATTTTAATGAACATACAAACGTAAACAAAAAAAGGGCAAAGACAAATGTATCAGTAGACAAGTTTAGCAGCAAAAGGCAAAGAGAAAAAAATGTAAATACATTTAAAAATAATAATAATAATAAAGAAATAAATAAATAAATAAACATACAAACAAAATACAAAAAAAAAAAAAAAAATTACACAAAGTTATGCCGTGGTTAAGGTCACACATATTGTGAAAATACATCCGATGTGTTCATAGAGTCAGAGGATCATTAGAGGCATCCATATTTTTTGAAAGGCACCCCCTTTGTTTTTTTAAGTAGTATGTATTTTTTGCTAGATTGAACTCAATTTTCTAAAACAGTTCTACTAACTCAAATAATTTGAGTTTGTGTGACTTTTTATAGTTTGTGAGTGAATTGAACTTATTACATATATATTTACATTTGGCTTTTCATGCTATATAAAAAGTGTGATCAACACAATAAACTATAGCAACCAAACTAAAAGCTAGTGTTAAAATAAAAAGTTGAAGAGCCCAACTAAAGCAGATGCTGACCTCCATCATGGTGACTTCAAATTAACAACCATTTCATTAAATGTGTCTGATGAAAAATAAACACTATGGAATGTATTTTTAGCGTGTCACTCACTGAACAGTGTGATGGCACTGGAGAGCTGACCCGTCCATTTTCCTCCTGGCTTCGAATTCATTTCATTCAGCTGTTGAATGATGTCCCCAAAGCATATTTTTCCATTCCCAATGAAACCTTCGCGGCAGTTACATCTGAAATTATTACAATTGAAAGTGTATTTAGGTTCTAAATTTATGAAGAAGGGCATAAATAAAATCAATCAAATGAAATCCGTCACCTACTCCACTGTTCCTGGTTCAGCTGTGGCACAGGTGGCGTATTTATGGCAGGAGTCTGGTTTGCACAGATCTATAATACTGCAGCCCTGCCCTTCAACAAACTTCTCGAATCCCTCCAAACACTCACAGTGAGCCTGTGGAAAACAGCAAACTGTAAATAAAGTGTAACATTCAAGCATTTAATAAGGGAAGTTATGAATGCAAACACACTTTTCCAGGACCGTCATACACACAGCGGGTAGAGCCAGATGTGCAGTTGCCTAGATTAGTCTGGCATGGGTCAATGGGCATGCAGACTCGACCGTCGCCACTATAGCCTTCTGTACATGTGCAGACATGCTTGTTCGGTCCCGTATGCGCACACACTGCATTCGCATGGCACACACTCCTCAAGCACGGGTTGATTGCTGCATAATCAATGTGACATATAGAAAAGAGCATTTGTGAGTTCAAAAAGGTCATAACAAACTACATTTAAAGCTGTGTTACATTTGTTTTGATGCTTAAAATCAGCTTATTTGCATATGTATTGATAATAAAATCTTTAAAAAAATGATCACACTGCAAAAAAGGCTTTCTTGGATTTTTTTGTCTTGTTTCTAGTCCAAATATCTAAAAATACTTAAGTCAAGAAGCATTTTCTAGACAAGCAAAATATATTGTCTTGTTTTAAGAAATAGCATGTCAAAATTAAGTGAGTTTTACTGCCAATGGTGTAAGAAAAATAACCCCTTTTTTTTTTTTTTAGTTTTGACAAGATTATTTTTCTTACCTCATTGGCAGGTTATTTTGCTTGTTTAATGTGAAAACTCACTTAATTTTGACTCATTTCTTAAAACAAGACAATATTTTTTGCTTGTCAGGAAAATGTTTTTTTTATTTAAAATGTTTTAGATTTTCGAAACAAGACAAAAAATAAATCCAAGTAAGAAAAGCCTTTTTTTGCAGTGAAGCCTACAGACAAACCACTTGCAAAATGACAAAATGACTTGCCTAATTGCCCTAACTTGCCTATCTAACCTAATTAACCTATTAACCTTTAAATTGCACTTTTAGCTGAATACCAGCATCTTTTTAAATAAATATTTAGTAAAATATTATGGACTGTCATTGGCAAAGATATCAGAAATCAGTTATTAGTTAGTAAAGCTATTATGTTTAGAAATATGTTGAAAAAAAAAACACTGTTAAACAGAAATTATAGAAAAATATTTACAAAAATAAATTCAATTGCTAATAATTCTGATTCTAACTGAATATATAATATCTTTTTAAAGGAAAGAGGGGGAAGAGTCGGGGTGGATGGGGGTTCTTTAAGATGAAGATGACTAAGGTAAAGAAATCCAGTTATTTCTGTGTGTTTTGGATTTATCTGATTGGTAGATCATCAAATAGCTAATGTGGCACCAGACATGGTCAATCATCAGCATGTGACCCTCTCGAAATTAGTTCATAAATAAGCTTTCCTTTTTAAAACTATTATGTTTAGAAATATGTTGAAAAAATAACTTCTTTGAACAGAAATAGGGAAAAAATATTTACAAAAAAAGGCTGTTAATTCAGACTTTGACTATATAATATCTTTTTGAATACTTTGTAAATAAAATTATTAATATATTGTTAAATTTATTCAAGCAATACAATTAGGTATGATCACTATTTTAATCACATATAAGGAAAAAGGACATGATTATTTTGCTTGTTTTAAGGAAAAACTTACTTAAATTAGGCATATTATTTCTTAGAACAAGACTAAATCTTCTGCTTGTCTGGAAAATGCTGTTTTTGGATATGAGAAATTTTAGATTGAGATCAAACGTAAATTTCAATTATGGATTACAATTAAGTATGATCACTGAACTGCATATAAGTAAATGTCAATAAAAATGTTTTGTTAATATGCTAACAACAAATGTTCATCAGTAGGTTCCTTGAAACACTAATTAATACGCTCTTCTATAGCTTCTAATATGCTTTTATAAATATATATTTAAAAATCTTGCATTTGAACTCATATTATGTTTAAATCAATGACCCATTTTAAGTGTTTTTTAAGACAATAACCAATTATTGTTATAATGTCATATAACTGACACATTAAGACACATTAAATTGTTATCACACACTGAAAAAAAAAATGATTCATTGGATTTGCTAAAAAAAAAACTAAGCTATCTGGTTGCAAACAATTTATATGGGCTGAATTTAAACAAACAAATGAAGTTAAACATTACTAAAAATATAATATGTAATTTTAGTATATACTCACATGTACACTGTACTCCATCCCCTTGATAACCAGGTTTGCACTTGCACACAAGCTGCCCTGTCAACATTTCCTCGATACAACGAGAATCCGGCCCACACTGCAAAGCAGCACATGCTGGGAGCTCTGAGAAGAAAAAAATACACTCACTCAAATGCTGCTTTAATGTGCAATGTCCCACTCAAAGAGAAATTTAAGAGTTCAAGGGTTTACCTTGGGCGCAGTCTAGGCCGGTGTACCCAGAAAAACATGTGCACTCTCCTGTTCCTTTCAAACCGCTGCTACACAGTCCATTCTTGCAACGACACACTAACCAGCACAAGAAATTCAATAGACTGAATACAAACACAAAAGTACCCCAAACCAATTCATTCAGAAGTACAGAATAAAAGGTTTTCTCTACCATTACTGCAAGTGGGTCCATATAAGTCTGTTTTGCATTCCTCGCAAGCTGCTCCTGTAAAACCAGACTGCAAAAAATGAAATAAAATAAATAAACACCTCCAAAAGTTTGATTGACAGCAGTGTGCTTGATTCAGACAGAGCAAAACAAGGAAAGCAAGCTCACTGCGCAAGTGCAAGTCCCATTGCCTGCTATACCATCAGAGCAGACTCCATTATTGCTGCATGGCGTCGATGCTGATCCTGGACACTCTGTTAAAAGAGTAAAGGCAAAGTCATGGGTATGAAAATGTTTTAAAAATAAAATAAAAAAACTAACAAAACAATTGCAAAGAAATCCCCCTATGATACTGAATTTTTTCATAATAATAATAATAATAATAATAATAATAATAATAATAATAATAATAATAATATCATCATCATCTTTATTATTATTGTTGTTGTTGTTATTATTATTATTATTATTATTATTATTATTATCATTATTATTATTATTTTCATTATTATTATCATAATTATCATTGTTATTATTATTATTATTATTATTATTATTATTATTATTGTTGTTATTATTATTATTATTATTATTATTATTATTATTAATAATAATAATAATATTGTTGTTGTTATTAATATTATTGTTATTATTATTATCACTATTATTATTACTTTTATTATTATTATTATTATTAGTAGTAGTAGTAGTAGTAGTAGTAATAGTAGTATAAAATTAGTAACATATTTAATTATAAATAATAATAATAATAATAATAAGGAGAAGAAGAAGAAGAAGAAGAAGAAGAAGAAGAAGAAGAAGAAGAAGAAGAAGAAGAAGAAGAAAGAAGCCTTTTCTATTGCACATCATAAGCAACATGCATCAATGCATTAGACAACCTTAACTATGAGAACACCTGCATTTACTGAGCTGTGTTAATTCTAGTTAACCAACTAACTTAAATTAGCAGAGACATTATTTATTTTACTTTAATATCTTATCAGAAACAAAAATGAAACTAAATGCATAAATAAATACTCTAAACAATTTTTAAGGTAAACCAAAAAAATACTTAGTTTTGAGCTTTATTGTCAGTGAACAGTGTGTATTTTTTAAGTATTTGCGATGCTAGGGGTCTTAGTGAGAGGATATGAGTTAGCAGAGCTCCTTTGTTCTTCAAACAGCCCCTCGCCTGCTCCACTGACCCTCAACTCTTCTTTTCCTTCCCTCCATTGTGGCTCTGATAGTCCTGACAAAAAACCCTTCATCAAAACCAAACCCATCTTGTCAAACCAGACACATCAGGCGCAGACGTGACACCTCAAATAAAAACCACACTCGCAGCATGTGCAGACTCTTACTCATGCGCAGAGCCGCTTTCTGCACATTCTTCACATTTTCTGCACTGACTGTGAAGAAAAACTGCAAACACTTTATAAAAACATCGCCTTTGTTAACGTTACTGCTTTTATGATTTTGAATGATGCTATTTTAAGGTGTCCATATAATGTAATGTCAACTAAAAGGATTAGAGTTTGGTTTAGGATTAGTTGCATGTATAATTAATTAGTAATTAAAATAAATACACATACAGTGGAACTAAGACACATTAAATTCTTATCATGCTGTAAAAACAGATTCATTTGACTTATGACTACATGTTTTAGAGTAAATGGTTGCAAACAGGGGCGGATTGGCCATCTGGTAATTCTGGCAAATTGTTACAAGAGACTGGTCAATTTTGCCTGGGAACACTAAAGTAAGGGGTGGGAGATGAACACAACAGGAGGGTTATTTAATGGTTTAGAAATATTGCTGTTTATATTTGCTAATATATCTATTTGTCATATTGTAAATAATTTTTGTGGAATTATGGGTTGATTTATAGAACTGTTAAATAATAAGCTAATCAACATTTTGCGACTTGATTATACCTCGACATTTAAAGCAGCAAACAAACCGAAGTATTTACACTGAATTATGTGTAAATGTTTTAACAATGTGACTATAAATCTGCCTGTCAAACATGACATCGGGTATAACGGGAAAAAGCATTTCCTTTCATAATGCTTCACTAAGCTTCCACAATGCTGACCCATTTCAAAGACACAAAGGTCAAATCATTTAACTCCTGAAGAACAATGCAGGAAGCTCTGCTGATAAAAGACCAAAAGAAAGCAAGACAACTTTCAGTAACTTAAGTGCTTGACTCAGCAAACTCAGCGGGATCAGTTTGAGCGCTGACAGACTGAGGAAATACTGGAAATGAGGCTGTGGATCTGCACATTCCTGCAGCACAAACCTGCCATATCTCTATCAGAGGGAAGGAAATACACAATCCTCTTGTTCCACAAAGTATCAAAAGTTCCTTCATAATTTTTACATCATACTATACTGTATCAATAATACTATATCAGTTCATATACTGGATATCTCGCTCCCAACTACCATGAGAAACAACACCGTCATGGTCTCATGATCACATGAAAAGTTAAAAACGGGAAAAGGGATGAAGTGTATGTTCGCATTCATGCATACGATTTAGTCAAACATTCCTAAAAGAACGCTAATAAAATTCCTCTCATAATTTGGAAGCGATCCTCTTGTTTGGATCAAATGAGAAATTCTTCACGATCCTGCTGGATAAACTAAAATCCTACTTCCCAGTTTACTTCTTCTGGAAGTTCAGTTTATCCAGCAGGATTTGTAGTTATTTTTGGACGATGGCCGCTTTTAATAGTCTCTTGGGGTTGACAGAATTACGATGAATCGTAACAGACATTCTATTAGTATTCCTTTACTACATTCAAAAAATATATATTTTGACGCTTGTTCAAACTACTTATTTATGAGTTGAAACAACCCAATTCTTGATTTTTTTGGGAAAACTTAAGTGTGGTTTATTCATAAACTACTTTCGAGAGGATCACTTGCTTATGATGAAAACGGCTGGCTCCTTTTTAGCTCCATAATCTGCCCAATTAGATGATTACGGAAGCATTATAAATAATCTGAGTTTTTCACTCCAGTTATCTTTGTCTTGAAGCTCCGCCCCCCTTCCACCCCTACTTCCTCCCCCTTTTCCGATAGGGTGACACGGTGGCCTAGTGGCCAGCACTGTTGCCTCACAGCAAGAACACGCTGGTCAAACTTATCGGGCTGGTTGGTGTTTCTGTGTGGAGTGCACATGTTCTCCCCGTGTTCGCGTGGGTTTCCCTCGGGTTCCCCGGTTTCCTCCCACCGTCCAAAAACAGAAACCACAGCTAATCGACTAAACCAAATTATCACCCCATACAACCTTAGTTTACACTTCTCACAGTGACATGCAGGGGAGTTCTCGAGATCTACCTGAGCTCGTACTCCCCTCTCGCCCTTCTAACGGGAGGGAGCCCCAGGCTCGAGGATATTACAAGCTCAGGGCTCTCTCCCGGGACAGCATGCCAAATACACTTTATTGATTATCAGCTAAGTGTGAACTCTTTAATTGTTCTAAGTTCAATTAACTTTAATTTGTAAAAACAATTAAATTAACTTAATCGTTTTGTGTTGAGATAACATGAAGGAATTGTGTGGAAGCCATCATTTATTACAGTATACACTCGATCAAGATGATTTTGATGCTTGTTCAAACTACTTCAATAAAATGAGCTGAAACAATACAAACTTTTGGGATAACTTGATTGTTTTATATTCAATCCACTTAAATTTTCAAAAACTGATAAGTTAACTTAATTTCTTCATGTTGTGCCAACACAAATCGATTGTGTAAAACCCAGCATTTTTTACTGTGTACACACCAAACAATTATTTTGCTGCTTGTTCAAACTACTTATTTAAAGTTTGCTAAAACAACACAATTAATATTTTTTAGGGACAACTTACTTGTTTCATGTTCAATCCACTTAAATTTCTTAGGATAACTTTGTCTAATCAATTTGTGTTGGCACAACATGAATGAATTGTGTGGAACCCTGCATTTTCTTGTGCAGAAATAACAATAATAATAATGTTTTCACACTTTGTTCCCCAAAAGGGGAAGTTCCCGTCCTGTTTGTGTTTCAGATTTGTTAGCGGTGGCATCAGAACAGTTCCTGTCCATCTCTTCCCATCAAAATATTCCCTCAGCGCATCTTCCCCCATTGAATGACGGAAATACCACCAAATGAAATGTGCCAAATTTGTCACTTGTGGACCATGTCCAACTGGTTTCAGATGTCAAACGTTTTCTATGGAACACTTGAAATGGATTCTAACCCAGAAATTCTGCTTCAAAGACCTTAAACTTACCCATGCAGTCATTGCCCCAATAACCTCGACAGCACTGGGGCTCCACCACTTCTTTGAAGCAATTAAACGAACAGCCCGAGATAGAAAAAACAGGTGTGACATAATACCTAAACACACATAGAGAGATTCAATTACTGACTCTGTGTGTTTTTTGTTTATATAAAAAAGTGCATATAGAAAATCATCACACCCCTTTGAAATAATTACTTAATTTGTCATCCAGCCTGAAACCAATTCATATTCCGAATAACTTTGCAACCTTCTGTGCCTTTCTCTAGCTTTATCCTGTAGGTGTTATGAAAGCAGGGGGGAATGTGAGTGAAGGTATGTATTTTCACAGGGTATGATGATTTTTAAGCACTGTACAGTACAAGCATATAGTAAGGGTGTCTTCTTCCATTGAGTTTTATTATTTGTATACAAAGACTGTGAGTAAACTCTTACCAAAAATGACCCACCCTATTTGAAAACATTTTAAAGCCCATTTTAGGATTTTATGCACATCATATTTTTTTCTATCCAACATGTGCATGAAAAAAATAAATGCATGGAAGCATAGCTAATGACATTCTGTAATCTTCATCACTGATTAGAGATTTTACTGTCTAAGTAGACACCTCTGGTTCTCGTGAAGCAAACAAAACCATGCACACACACACAAACACGAATATGTACCTGCAGTCCCTATCGCTTGTGCCTGGTGGCATCTTAGCGTATCCATTGGGACACTTCGCTAAATGTGATAAGGAGCAGGAATGACACTTGGATTTAGTTACCATCGTGATATCCTTATCACAGCGCTTCTGAAAACAGACACAATCACACACATATGTACAAGGGATATTAATAATCACAACAACAACAGAATGCAAACAAATGTGCTCTCTTTCATACTGCATATCCCAAAACTAGAAAAGTAGGAAAATCACATTGAATCTTGACACCTGTCGCTGATTTTCCGAGGAGATTAACCTGATTCGTTCATGACTTTGCGCCTGGCCAATGACATTCTAGGGATTATTTTACCCAGCATTCCCGAGTGCATGTTAAACAATACATGTCAAATCAGGGAATTTCTGAGTGAGTAACTCTTAAAGTGCCACATTTACTACATTTTTACTCTAAAATGTAAACATTTGTAGCAAAAATATCCCTGTAGGGAAGTGAAGATTGATATTAAAGCAAACTGGATGTTTATGTTCATCTGTGCCAGCTTCTACACTATTATATAAATGTTAACAGGACAAAAATATAGCATAGCAAGCTTTTGACTAAGACATATTACATTTCTAATTAGTACAAACCTCCTAAGTGCACATATATTTAATAAACAATGTCTTACCTTGCTCTAAAAGTAATATAAAGTCACAAATAAACATTCACGTTACATAAATATGTGTGCATCTCACCTGTGCACCAGCCACCCAGAGGATCTCAGTTCCCAGCAGCAGAATCAAACCTCCACAGACGACGTCTAGAAGGAACGGCATGATGATTACACTTTCAGTTTCTTCTTTCTGGCTCTCTGAGGTCCTTCACCAGACTGTGGCCACACAAGTTGGCCTTCTGCCTTTTCAACAATCCCTCTCTCTCTCTCTTTCCTGTATGAAAACATCACGAGAGTCAGAGAGCGACACCTTCCTCTAAAATGCCAGGCGCATCCATAAATCTGTTTCACATTACACATAAATAGGCTTTCAATGAGCTGTAAAAAAAGAAGTAACCCATTGACTATGTGATTAGAATGATCTGAGACAACAAGGTGCACTTGATTAGTATTGCTTAGGATATAAATGTTTTATTTTATGATACATTTTCCCTTATTAATAATATATAATAATATAATTACTTTTGGAATAGTTATTGCTGTGTTTCTCAACCATGTTCATAAAGGACCACCAACACTGCATGTTTTCAAACTGCATGTTCTTTCAATCACTGCTAATGAGCTGATGATCTGAATCAGGTGTGTTTGGTTAAAGAGACATGGGAAATATGCAGAGCTGGTGGTCCTCCAGGAACATGGTTGAGAAACACTGCTTTATTATATTTTTTTCTTTTCTTCTTTTAATGAAAGCAACACGAGGGGCAGCCAGAGGAGACTGTATTGTCCACTGTGGAAAAGTTCCTTTGGTCAGGGTGCCTTTTCAATTACAGCAGCACAGGAGTGGAACTCTATCCCTGCACTCTCAGAAATAAAGGTACGCGAGCTGTCACTGGGGTGGCACCTTTTCCAGAGGTACATGTTTGGACATGAAAGGTACATATTGGTACCTCAAAAGTATGTATTAGTACCTAAACATTTTAAGTGGAACACTTTTGTACTTTTTAGGTACTAATATGTACACTTGAGGTATTAAAATTTGTAGCTTTTGAAAAGGTACTCCAGTGACCTTTTTTTCTGAGAGTGTGGGAGCATCAGAAAAATAACTGCTTACAATATGTTCAAACAAACATCTAAAAATCTTGTTTATAGGACATCAGATGTGTGATCATTCATTCATATTAGTTTGTACCCACTATGTTACAACACTGTAAAAAGCAAAAGCTGTTATTTATTATTTAAAATTTGTAAAATATAATAAACAGATGATGGGTTTTGCTTTTGGGGGGACAATATCATTTCTCAAGAAGATTTAAATCTAGTTTAAAATCTAGCCAATTTAGTTTATTCAAATCACCTATAGAACATATCTTTGGACTGTGGGGGAAACCGAAGCACCCAAAGGAAACCCATGCCAACAAGGGGAGAACATGCAAGCTACGCATAAAAAGCCAACTGGTCCAGCTGGGACTTGAATCAGTGACCTTCTTGCTGTGAGGTGACTATGCTAGCCACTGTGTCGTCATTTACGATTTACTATAAAGAAAAGATTTCGCTGACTTTTTTTGATTGTAAGTGACCATCGAGACAGATGGGAAGAAGCTGGTCGATTTCCAGGAGCATTGAAAACTGTTGTGTATGTGTGTTCTAAACAAATAGAGCTGAAGGCAGAAGAATCACAGGATGTCCTCACTCATAAATAAGCCAAGTGGTCAGGTGAAGATACCCTAACACACACACACATTTCCTGCATGTCTGCTGCATCATGAATTTCCTTTCATAGTTCCAGAACTTACTAAGAAATTCCTTCCAGACCGCATGTGTGTGTGCATATATTTGCCCATGGTCTGGTTAGTGTTTTATAATCATGAGAGTGCATACAGTGTCTTGTTTTAAGACTTACACACATATTTTGGCTGCCTTTTAACAACCGCTTATGAAAACTAATTCAAATGACCATGAGCACCTACTTGTCTAATCTACCATGAAACATCTAATTAAATGCTCATTTTAAATGTTCTTATCCAAACAGCTATAAAAAATTAAACATGTATTTACCCATTTTAACTGCAATTGACACCCCGACCGCACAAAAACACAATGTGCAGCAATATGATAACATGGAAAGTGAACGCAGGCCTGCTAACCACAAGAATTGTTTGTTCACGATAGGGATTGCTTTCTGATTTGATTCCTGAACATCGTATTTATGCATTTGGCTTTGATCCGGTAGAGGAACAACAGCACATTTCCACAGACCCAAACATATTTATTGCAATAACGTAGGCCTACAAAGGCAAATTTATTATAAAGCTAGACAGCTAAAGTAGTATTTCAGAGAAATGGTTTTCATGAATATAATTTATGCATCAACGTTAGACTGATTTGTAATTTTCTACTTGATTTGCAAAGGAAGTTGTGCATGAAGTTTCTTTATTCAGCTTTTTTTTTGTTGTTGTTGATGAAAGCTGTTTTCTGTGATTGTGGACTTACTATTGAATAAATGACTAGGAATAACATGCCAATAAATGTTCAAAGTATTACAATTACCAGTGTGCTCAATGCATTAAATACTAATAAAGTATAAGAACATAAAGTTTGTAGCATCAAGCAGTTTTATATATAGCTAAACGTTATTAGAAGTGAATAAAACCAGACTAGATTGTGTCAAAACAGCTTAGAAGTTGTAGTAAACTGAAAGTCAATCCAGCTTTCAAAGTTCAGTTTAGTTTAGTTTGGTTCAGTTCAGTGTCCTTTAAAAAAAAAAGGATATCTTATTGTTGTTCTAATTTTATTTTAAGCACAAGAACAAATAAATTCAAAATCCACATTTTTGTATCTTCGTATATGTATGCACATATTTTTTATTATGTTAAAAGGCTGTATTTAAATAGACATCTTTTTTATGAAAAACAAACCATTTGATGGTGATTAGAAAGCAAATTTACACATGTCTTTTGTACTCAGACACATTTTGAAGGTACATTTTAGAATTTTGGACTTTTTAATCTTGCTTGGGTCATCATTTTGAAGGTGTTTCTATAGTGTACGTTAGATGTTAAGTGATGTTTTTGCCATGTTAAACTAAAAAAAATTACGTTTGACATTTTTAGGTAGACAACTTAATTGCTTTATGCTCAATCCACTTAAATTTGTAAAAACTATTAAGTGAACTCAATTCCAAACATAAATCAATTGTATGGAACCCATTGAACTTTTATAGAGTAAGATGGCAATATTATTTAGTGGCTAAATGCATTGGTTGTTGAGGTTAATGGCACATTAATCCACTCAAACTGTGTGTGTTGTGTAGTGTAAATATCACAGACAAAACATACCTGAGCAACAGCAGCACATAATAGAACACTGTGTTAACCTGTCGGTTATATAGCCTAGGTGAGATTTCATGCTTCCGTCTGTTCTTTAATCAGCATACAAAGCACAATTCCCTGAAAAACATGAATGAAGAGAAAGCACATAATGGTATGTAGAAAGATACAGCATAACTTACTAAAACATAACACACAATGATATCAATAAAACGTGTGAACCACAAGCAGCACAGACATAATATGATTAGCAAAGCAGAAAACTTAATTGAGCACACAATGATCTGATGATGTAGGTTTTAAAGCTAATCCGTTCTGGGTTTAACCCTGTAAGGCATAGGTCTTAAACTCAGCTGTGTTTCGCTCCAACACTAATTAAACACACCTGATCCAACTAATCAAGATGTTCAAGAGTACAAACACATTCAAAAACTAAGAATATTAGATGCTTATTTAAACCATCTTACAAAATAGAAACACATATTTCGCCATATACTTTAAAAAAAATTATTTTGGTTAACTTTTTCTCACAACAATGTTATTTTTGGTCACACTTTACAAAAAGGTTTCATTATGTATTTACTAACATGAACTAAGTATGAACGATACTTCATTTATAAATCATAGTTCAACATTTAATAATGCCTTATTAAAATCCAAAATCATGTTTGTTAGCATTAGTTAATGCACTATAAGTCCTGCTACATTGCACAAGTTAAACGATAATGTTCCAGATACCTGTATAAAGTGTATTGAGGTAACATTGTGCCACTGTATATGGGAATGTGTGAAAGTGAAACACTTTTGGCAAGGTGTTATTAAAATGATTGACCGAATTTTCTTAAGGAAATTACCATTGGATCCTAAGATTTTTATGGGTATATATCATGTCAGTCCTCTCTTACAAAGCAAAGAGGTCAGATTCAATGTTTATCTCACAAGCTAAATGTATTATGGCTCTTAAATGGAAAAATTTAGAATTGAAAAAGGGATTAAAGAAATGGCGTCACATATGTCAGTGGAAGAGATCACGTACATTGTGCTAAAGAAACAAAATGTGTTTGAAGATATCTGGAGACCGTTTATTGACTTCCTAATGTACCATGTGAAAGTTAGAAGGAAGTAGGGGAAAGTTTTTTTTTCTTGTTTTGTTTGGGTGTGTTTTACTTGTTTGAGTTTTTTTTCTTGTTTTTTCCTGTTTTGTTTGTTTGTTCTTCTTTTGTTTTTTTGCTTTTTTTAGTTCTTGATTTTTTTTGTTTTATTTTTTTTTGTTTGAGTTTTTTTTTCTTGTTTTTTTTTTTTTTTTTTTTGTTTGAGTTTTTTTCTTGTTTTTTTTCCTGTTTTGTTTGTTTGTTTTTAGTTCTTGTTTGATTAATTTGAGCTTTTTCAAGGGAATGGGTTGATGGGAGAGAGAATAGTGTGAATAATGTTTGTTGTGTCTACATGATTATTATTGTAAATGTGTAATCTGTTGTGATATGCAAACTAAAATAACAGTAAGAAATAATTTGTACAAAAAAAAACAAACAATGACCAATTGAATTTTTATTAACTAACATGAACAAATGCTGTAATAAATGTATTGTGCATTGCTTGTTCATTCTATTAAACACATTAACTAACATTTAGAGAATACCTTATTGTAAAATGTAACCTTCATTTTAATAAAACATCAGTGTTTTTGTAATGATTACATGACAATGTTTTGAGTCTCCTCTTTGTAGTCCTGTCTGGCAGGGCACAGTGACTCCACCAGATGGAGGCAGACACCTTTATGTATATGAACAGATTTATTCTGTTCAAATTCCTCTGATCTATACATGAGAAAAAAACGCCCATTTCATATACAATCACAAAGACTTGTATGGTAAATCACTTTAAACAATCATTCCAGAGCAGTATGGTGTGATAAGAGAAAAAAAAAAGAATCAAAGCAAACATACAGAATGAATTAAAGCCGAGCGAGCACTACAGGACGTGTGCAGAATCTTAACTTTGACTCTGCAGCAGTTGTTGTGGGAATTGTCGACATTTAAGCAACAGTCATTGGCAGGAAAACAGTGCCGCCAATCCAAAACGCCTCAGGCCTTAACCAACACAACCAGACGCAGCCATGAGCCCCTACAGACTTCTGGGAAGGCGAACAGAGCATGGCACCACTCATAGAGCGTGCAGGAATGGGCAAGTGGAAAAAAAAATAAGCGTGACTCTTGGCTTCGGATGCAGTGCTACGCTTGGATGGACATAACTGATCATTCACACATTGAGACAAAAGACGAACGATGATCAGGATGAGCGATGACCCTGTTCTGCAAAGGCCAGCATGGATTGAATTTACATCCAAAGCATATTGTGCATGTGGTCAAACCACCCACTGCGATGCATTCAGAGTCTTGACTCGATAGCGCACACACTGAAAAATTGAATACATTTTAGTGCAAAGAAAAAAAGATCTGTTAGCTTTGATTAAAGGAATGTAAAGTATTGCACGGAAGGGCCTCAAAAAACTCCCGGGTTAAGCAAACTGAGTCAAAAAATTGACTGATTACAGTTTAGAATAAAGATTTCCTTCCACCATGTTTCCAGTGCTGAAAGTCTGCTCCTGTATAGAATGTAAAATCTGGATAAAAGAAAAAATCTGGACAAAAGAGTGAAGATAATGATAGATAATGATGGTAAGAAACACCTTATGTTAAAATAGCATGAGAAAATATTTTCAAAAGGGAGTTAACAAATAATAACTTGACTACTAGTTGATAATGTAATGTCAATAGATGCTTATATGAAAGGCAAAGGCCAAATAAAGTATTAATAAAGTCATCTGGAACGGCAAAGAAAGTGTTCTTGCAGGACTCCCAGAATTTATCAAGATTCTTTGGATTCATCGTCAATGCCTCCTTCTTTATTTTACCCTAGACATGCTCAATAATGTTCATGTCTGGTGACTGGGCTGGCCAATCCTGGAGCACCTTGACCTTCATTGCTTTCAGGAACTTTGATGTGGAGGCTAAAGTATGAGAAGGAGCGCTGTCCTTCTGTAATGGGCAGCTCAAATGTCTTGATAGATCTGCAGATCTCTTGCATGCCCCCATACTGAATGATATTCATTCAAAGGATTCCCACTTAGATATGCTGAGCATTTATAGCAGGTTTGGCATGCTGTCCCGGGAGAGAACCCTGAGCTTGGAGATACTTGAGCCCAAGGCTCCTGCCCGGTCAATAAGCATATAAGGGGGTCTGAGATAAGGTAGGTCTCAAGATCCCCCCTTGGAAAAGGGAGAAAAAAGGAGGAGATGGGGTGGAAGGGGAGATTCTTCCAAAGCCTAGATAGAGCGGTAGGGAGAAAACGATCCATTTATTGTAAACTAGGATCACTCTGATTGGATTATTACTGATTACAGAGGAGCAGCCAGTCGTGCTCAATCATATCACATGCTCCACTCGAAATAAATTTATGAAACTTCACGTAGTGTATTGTGCATGTGGTCGCACCACCCACTGCGATGCATTCAGTTTTGACTTGACAGTGCACACACTAAAAAATTGAACACATTGTAGTCGAAGGAAAAAAGATCTAGCTTTGATTAAAGGAATGTAAAACATTGCATGGAACAGCTTTAAAAAAACGTCCTGGGTTAAGCAAACTGAGTAAAAAAAATGGAATGATCACAGTTAAGTATAAATATATTCTTCCATTCATTATGCGATTGAATTTCATCTGCGGAAATATTTGTCTTTGTTTTAACAGTTGTCGAGTTGCTTTTTTTTCCTTACCAAACCACAAGAAACACAGTTGCAGCTCATTAGGGATAGCGGAACCAAACCTGAAAAGGCAATATTGAAGTACAGCAGATTAAATTTGACAAATTGTGTCATTTTGCGTATGATTTAACCTTTAAAAAAACATACTAAAGAGAATGAAGGCACTGAGGAAGGCGGGAGGTTGCCAGACACCTGAGTTTTTGGCTAAGTCTGAGAGAACAGATGCGTCCACGTGGATTCCATTCGCCTGGTTTGTCTCGCGAGGATGACTTGACACCATGTTTCCAGTGCTGAAAGTCGGCTTCTGAATAGAAGAATCTGAATAGAAGAAAATCAGAGAATCTGGACAGAAGAATGAAGACATTTACAGATAGCGATGGTGTTAAACACTTTAGGTTAAAATAACGAAAATATTTCCAAAAGGGAGTTATTTATTGAGAGCCAATGTAGACAATAATCTAAAGTGATTTCACTTGGACAGAAAAAAAAACTGTTTTTAAGAAAGCTTGATGCAACATCCACTCAGCGGTAAATACAACCACATGAGAATGAACAAGCAGACATTCAGAGTAAAATCACGAAACCCAACATGAGTGAGATTTTCCACCGATTTAATAGATTTGCTAGCATGTGCAAGAAGTCATAGAACTTGTTTTTTTATTCGTCTGTCACACGAGAGAAGATCTCTGATATGTTCTGCGAACACTGCTGTAAATTGTCACCGTCCTGTTGCTTGGAATGTGGCTGCATAAAAGAGCCACTTGCATTAGCATTTAAGGGTCTTTAAAGAGAATACAGCCATGGTATTTGGCACAACTCTGTTACTTCTAGCAAAGCATTACGCTTTCAGAGGTCTGTGTGCATGGGGGATTAGCGCTAAAGAGGAAACGAGACTCACATAACGCTCACAAGAAATACAAAGTGGAAACCTTGATTTGTAATTTGAAATATGAAGAGTTCAGATTCAAAACCTCTAAGTGCCATCTGTAATTTGCTTCTAGAATGAGCATTTTTATGTTTATGTTGAGTTATTTCATGTTAAAAGCGATAGACATATTCTCTTCTTTGCCATAAAAGTGAAATTACTGAATCAAGTCACACAAAAAAATGCTAATATTAGAAGGCAATTTTCAGATGGCATTTTTAGGTTTTTGCATCTTAACCATTCATATATATCTCAAATCAATGACACTACAATTAATATCCAAGCTTAATTGTTTTTGTTTCTTCAGCATATGCATTTACGCCTTAAAAGAATGTCTCTGAAAAACTTTTTTCTGTTTTTTCAGTCTCAGAAATAAGGCGTAATCACATATATCCATTGTTCAGAATTGAATATGTACATATAAATCATGAAAATATAATGCCAAAACTGCAGAAAGCATTCTTTGGGTATTATTTATTCAATGATTTCTTATTTGGAACCTATAAAACATTATATCAAAAATATCTTGGCATATTATCAACACAATTCCCACTAGAATTGATCGTTGTAGGGTTAGTTTGCCATCAAATGAAAATTCTGTCACTCACCTTTAAGCGGTTTATATTTTCTGATTTTGACTGTAATTTAATGATGAACACCTTTTGTAAAGCTGCTTGGAACTTTAATTAAATAATAGGAACTGCTCGGAACTTTAATTGAATAATGACTGAATTGAATAATAGTTTTTATTTACGAAATGTTTGAGTGATCCTACTTTTAATAATTTTTTAATGAAGATTTGGGTTGGGAAAAAGTGAAGAGGTGAGTTGGAAAGACTAATTTTGACAAACTTTTCATTTTAAGGTCAGCTAACTCTTTATCCGAACATGCCTTCAGTAAAAAATCCAAACAGAGTTATCTAAAGTATTTACACTTTTCCTCTGCAATTCCCAGTATTTGAATTCCCTTTATGCTCCAGTTTATTCCACAGTCATTATATACAAAATGGCTTGACTCCCAATGGAAACCCATGGGAAGAGTTATGCATGTGTACTTAAAAAAGGATTATACCATTTCTTTATGGATTCAGCTACGTATTGCCGGTTGGATATTTCGTCAACATGCTTGTTTGTATAGGCTGACAGCACAAAGAAGGTCCATTTCCTCTCACGAGATCCTTCAACCTCGCCCGAAGTCGCTGCTTTACTTGCAGGTGTGCATGTCATTCATTGTCTCGCAGCGTCTGCAGCGAACATAACAGCACCAGACGAACTTACACTCGCAGCGCTCTACATGTCGCACCACATGTGTGTTGTATCCCCGTCCGCAGCACAGCAGGTTGCAGCCGTCGGGCCCGGCCGAAGTTCTGTTACACTTGCGGCCCCTGGTCCCCGTCACGCCCAGCCGCCGGTCCTCCAAGCAATAATTGGGCGATTTGTTGAAGAAGATTAACTCATCTTTGGTGATAGGCACATGGCGTTGCTCTTTATCCTTGCGTCGCACCTTACGTTTGGAACGGTCCACAACATGAACGCTGGTTTCATAGCGATCCTTCAGGTAGGCGCCCACACGCTCAAATGCAGCCATTGTGCGCCAACACGTCTTTACCGCACATGAACCCGATACGCCATGACAGCGGCAGTCTGTCAACATTGTTTTGGCCACCGCCTGCAGAGGAACAGGACACGGAGAGCATGAGATCTGGAGAGCAGCTTGTTTTTTCTAGACAATGTAAGAAAATAAGCATGCAGACATTGAGCACAAATTCTGTCTTCCAACAATTTGCCGATTTATTTTGACAGACTTCCTGTATTTCAGGGAAAAACGCGGAACTAATGCAAATCGGCAGGAGAGTTAACCTTGGTTGGGTTTAAAGCCCATTCTGAAGGACTGTATAAATTTTATGGATGGATTTTTGATGTGCTCTCTTCATGTTCAGCATCATGAAAGCGGAAAGAGTATTTTGTGAGCTGATGACTCTCGTAAAGTAGAAGCATTCGTTTGGGTGAAGAATTATGGCAGCCCTTCGCTGACTTGAGGGGAATTCTGTCTTGCTTAAACGCTCCTCTGTGGTTTCCAACCAGAGCCTCAGTTTAAGGTCTCCAAACACTTACAAGTGCTCTTCAGTCAAGGCTGTGGAATTCGGTGCAAATCATCAGCTTTTTAGATTAATCCAGAACATGTGTGGAGATGTAACTCATTTGATCGACAAATTGTTAGCGCCCAAGCAGCCCATTACCATTTCTGCTCTTATGTGCTTGTTTTGAAATGTCAAAGACTCATTTTCTGGACATAATTCACATGCTAAATACATTCAGTGAGAATGCAAGTTTGTTTATTTGCTTGAAAAACTTACGCCGGACTATAAATAGTACTTTTTTTTTTTTTTTTTTTGAGATGAGGCTTTTCTAAATAGGCTATAAGATAATGATTCACCTAAATGTGTTAGGAAAGTCGCAGGAATGCTGTCTGGATGAATGTGGCCGGATGGACATGTCACACATTTCATATTTTCTAGATTAGACTGAATTAGCATCAATATAGAGAAGCACATCACTGATTTCAGAGCGTTTTCAGGTTATTTTGCTGTCGTTCTTGAAAGCAAATGCAAATCCATGGTTCAGCGTGATGATGTGGCCCTCTAAATCTGAACAAAAATAATAGGTGCATCCCAAATTGCATACTTATGCACTATTCTACCACATTTTGTAGTATAAAAAGTTTAAGTAGTGCAAACACACTGAAATTCTATAAAGAATAAAAGGTGGAACTTTTGGCACTGACATTGGATTTGTTTATTTATTTTGGATTGTGAAAGCAAACGAAAGTGATTAAACCGCCTCCCAATAGTGAATGCGATTATACTCATGGCATGGGTTATTTGGTTGTTTGGTCATTTATTTAGCTAATTTGGCAACCGTCAAACGTCATCAGGGAAACGGTTCGAATTTCCGCTTAGTAAGAAAAAAACGTTAGTGTTCCATTTGGCACGACACAACATTTGTATACTATGCTGTTAAGTGTGTCAGTGCAGAAGTACATAGCGTATAATGTGCCATTTGAGACGCATTTAGTGTTTCTCTTTATCTCTCTGTGTGTCAGTGAAAATTATTGTTCATTTAAAAATTATGTTTATAAGCTCTAAAGAAGTTCTCATAATCCTTAAAGGAGTTCAAAGTTTAGTTATTACATTTATACAGTGCTTTCAAATAAGCTAGAGCGGACCAAAGCTGTAAATAAAATGCAAATAACAACAATAGACCACTTCAATGTGGTCACGTCGTTGGCCCATAAACATTTCCTGCTTGTTATCAAACTATAACAAGAGGTAACATAATCATAATTTAATGTTAAAACAGTTATCATAACATTATTTATCAATATGTGTCTCTTTTTGGATTCTCAGAAGCTATAGGAATAAAAAATATACAACAGTACATACGTTGGGACCATTGTTTTAGTTTCTATCCCTCACAATGGTTTGTAAGAGGTAAAGAAAATGCAAATAGTAATAAATGCTTAATAAATCAATGTAGATAGGTTAAGAAAGCTATTAACAGCGGATGTTACTATGATACGGAAAACGTATCAGCTCAGTAATGACCACACACTTCCACAAAGCATAGCAAACTGATAACATCATTTGCAATACTTTGAGGGTTTGTAGATTGTCTTGGTGAAAAACGTTATATAAGGTATTGTCCATTTGTTCAACTTTTTTGTTACAAATAAACTTTGGAATGTTAAGATTCATATCAGAGCTTTGCTGATTTCAGTCCATGAGTTTTATTATTGAAGTGTGTTTTTTTTTTAAATTCCCATGGAACTAATAGTGCGTCTGGAAGTGTGTCTCATTTCTTTCAACATATAGTTGCTATATAGTTATTAGCCCTCCTGAATTATTATAATTATTAATTTATCCACAATTACTATTTTATAAAAAGACACATTTCTAAACCTAATAGTTTTAATAACTAATTTCTAATGAATTTCCTGATAATATTTGACTTGATATTTTTCAATATACTAGTATTCAGCTTAAATTGCAATTTAAAGGCTTAATTAGGCAAGTTAGGGTGATTAAGCAAGTCATTGTATAGCAATGGTGTATATTGCATAAGAGGGACTAATAATATTAACCTTAAAATACTTTTTAAATGATAAAAACGCTTTTATTCTAGTGGAAATAAAGACTTTTTCCAGAAGAAAAAATATTATCGGAAATACTGCGAACAATTCCTTGCTCTTGGGAAATATTTAAAAAGGAAAAGAAAATTCTCAGGTGGGCTAATAGTTTGGACTTCAACTGCATGTACTTCTAACAATGCACATAAGAAAGGTTAGTTCTGTCACCCACCTGTCTCCCAGCCTCACTGTTATGCTGCTTCATAATGAGCAGGGCCTCCTCACCACGGGTCGAGGTGTTTTTCGCTGCACTGTCAATAAAGCGGCGGCTGAATGAAGTCCCGAAGGCGATGTCATCAGAGCAGCCGCCCCAATGCCAGCCCTCGGTGGGCGACCCGCTGCCCAACAGGCTTGTGTCACATGAACACTCTGTCATATTTCCTGCACTGCAAGAGCGGGTGACTGCATGAACCAGGCCGGCAGCCATTACTGCATGGATGAACGCTGTCTCTTTAGTCCCTTAAAAAAAAAATCAGTAAAGATAATTTAAGCAAGATGCCAATACTGGTCAAGTACTTGCAAATGTGGAAGAACCAGAAGATATGGGAATGCAAGATGCACAGCAGGACATTTGTGGAAAAGTGTGTCAGTGCAGCAGCATCAGGGCAGAGGAGTCTGGGAAAGTTTTTTACAGTCATGCATGAAAAAATGAGCAAACGTGTTTGGCTGAGAGATTTCTTAGTATAAAAACAGATGATGTTATATAAAAAACTGAATGAAAATAATCGTAATTTCAGTCTCTATTATTTAAATGACTGATGCACATTTCAAAGACTGCAGTTAAAGATGACTACAGTAAATACATGAATTTATATCTAAATTGAATGCATATCTCATTGAAAATATATAGTTTTAATTAGGAAATTGGGAGCAAACTTGTTACAAAACCATTACACAGAGATCATTTTTGATTAAATATAGTTTAGAACTTTTGGTTAAATTTTTTACTTTAATTTTCAGTTCTCTATTAATTTTAAGAGAGATAACCTCAACATTTACAGCAGAAAGTAAATGGAACAGAACAGATCAAAATAGAAGAGATAAGAACAGAATAGAATAAAATAGATCAGAACAGAACAGAATGGAATAGAACAGAACAGGATAGAACAGAGCAGAATATAGCAGAATATAATAGAATAGAACAGAATAAAATACAATAAAATAGAGATGTAAACAGAATATAATAGTATAGAATAGAAATGAAAAGAATAACAAACTTGCATTTGTGAAGGTTTTTAAAATTAATTTTAGATATAATATTGGGATATCTACAAAACTGGTCTAAAGCCAGGTTGTCACTGGAAGAAATCAGACGGACAGTACATCAGATTTGGTTTAAACTCAAAATGTGCTTGTGTTTGAATCGCTCTGTGACAGAAACTTGGGGGCAATCTAAGGAAGGGATTTACAAAAATCAAGAAACAAGTTGCAGGTTGACTTTTTGCTTCGTAATCAATCTAATCCTGCATGCATTCAATTCAGGGCCAACTAAAAAGCATAGTACATTAAGTATAGAAATGGTTAACAGAAAACAGATGTGCATCACTGCTGTTCCCAGAATCAAATCATCTAGTCTGATCAAAACATGAATCTGTATTTAAAAACAAAACAGTCTAACAAAAGTTGGTACAAACAAACCAAAAAAAAAAAAAAAAAATCATAAAAAATAAATAAATCACGTACACCCAGATGCTTTAAGTAATTACAAAGTTATCTCTTATTACACTCTATAAAAATGATGGGTTCTTGTAACCCAACCTTGTGCAAAATATGGACAAACCCAACATTGGTTTCATTTTTATAATTAAATGTAAATAACACTTTTAAACCCAATGGTTATATTTTTCCATATTTGAACCACCAATTTTGTTACAACAACACATTTTTAAGTGTATAAAATACATAATTACTTGAATACAGATGTGTTATGGCCAATAATATAGTCATTAATGTTTCTGAAGCGTCTAATAACCACAAAAATGTTTTCCACTAACATGTTTTCTACATTTATAGCTTTAATAAAAGGAGACTACCATCCCTTTGAACAGCCTGACTAATTTTGCACATTAAACATCGTATTTGTCAATATACAAGACTTAATTTTTAAGTATTTAAGAGTTTTTTAAATATAAAAATTTATGTTTGATAACATTTCTTAAATGATTATTCATGACATTAATGTTTTAAATTATATTATATTATATTATATTATGTTATATTATATTATATATTAGCCTATGTTAGGCTATATTATATAAAAAAATATTGTATTAGTACTATTGAAAACGTTTAGAAAGCCTGCCCGACCTAAGTGATTTTTCTCCTCATGATCTTTTAAATCTGCCGGTCATACTATTTGTTATCGTTAATAAAATTAACTCCAGATTTTAAATAAAGTTAAAACAAAACGTAAATGTGAGACATTGTATGCATACCGCTCGTGAGCTCGTAGCCGAACACGTTCGGGTCCCGTCGGGTCGAGCAGTTCCAGCGTTCGTGTCTGAACTGAGTTTGGCACTCGGTGATGCCCAGGCGCGCGCCCTCTTTAACGCTCGGTAGAAGATGCGGTTTGCGCGCGCACAGCTCCTTCTGCTTGTGCGACAGGGGCAAATGCGCGCAACCCAACTTCTCGGGCACTCCTACAGATGTGATGCCCAACCACCTGTGATGCGGAGCAGTGTGACACAAAGATCAGAAGCGGTTCTCCTCTCCTGTCGGCCTGGATTGAAATGCCATAACCAGGCCCGAGGAAAAGGAGACAATTTTCAAACAATTTATTCAAACATAATTTGATAGTTAAAACAAGACAGCGCGTGGAATACTTACATCCAACTTCCCTGAGAGCACAAAGGGTAAACGGAGAGCCATATAAGGAATAAATGATGAACTGCATGTATCCCACAACCGGTATTATCCATGTCCACTTCATTTAACAAGTCCCGAACTGAACGTTTTGACAAAGACGATTCATGCCGGTCCACTGCATCTAATATGTAGCACCTGTAATCCACAAACGACGCTTTTAAGTCTCCGTTTTAAGAATCCATCAAGACGCAGGTAACGTCCAACCACCAGCAAGTCACCTTCGCCATGAGCGCAAACTCTAATAGACACAAAGTTTTATGCTGCTGATGGAGAACGCGCAACTAAACACTCTTCTGTGAAACGAACCCACGTTGTGATTGGTGTAACCATTCATTAATATTCAAAAGACACGACTGTTCTCAACGCTGATTGGAAAGAGCAATCTTGGCGTGGTGTCCGGTGAGAGAGCGCAAAGCGAACACAGTGATGGGAAGAAAGAATCAGTCGTTCACCAGCTTCACTTTAGCTTTATGAGATTTAAAAGACCGTGTTAAGGATGAAAATGACTTAACTGACCTCATTTAACTTTATAGGTGACATATTTTTTGAAAACAAGGTTAAAAATAAAGACAGGACATCAGATAAACCAACAAAGACGCTTTAACAGGCATACTGAAACATGTAAAAGCCAAAAAGTTAACTACCGCATTGTTTTAAATATACGATAACTTTAAAACGCACAAACTGGTTTCAATAATTGCCAGCAATTCGGACACAGATTTACAATTCGTTAACCTACTTGTGTTTATGTTGCGTTTTGCGATATATAAATTTGTGATAAGAATAATAAGTTATACCAGCTTCCTCGGTCTCTCTTTATCGACGAGAAATGTATCAGAAAATGCTCTTAAGGGATAGCGTGTTGTAAGCGTGTATTAATTACCTGCTGCGTCAGGTGGAAATACTCAAACCTTATCATTGTTAACATTTCTTTCTTTCTTTTAAAAGAGAAGTTATTTAAAACTGATATCTCATGTAATTTCTATAAACACGGCATTAATACTTTAATTACGAAACAAAAAAGACTGTAACGCTAAATGTAGATTTTATAATTAACAAAACAAACTAAAAACGCACAGGCACAAATATATAAAATATGAGCACATCATCAATGTTATGTGCATATGTTCACCACAAGTAATTAATAACAAACTTTAGTTTGGTTCTTTATATAGATTCATATTGCTTACAACAAAACACTTCTGATTTGGAGTAAATAAAACGAGTTAAAAGCTTAGAAAAACAAAACAGATTTCTATTTTTGTGTCGATGATGGTGTACTTGTATTACTAAGTGGTACAGAAATAGGGCTAAGATAATTAGAATCAAAATAATGATTAAAAATATACCATCTAATGTTAGCAAATTGTTATTAGAACATGTAATTATATTGTCATAAGCATGACAATGCTTATTATCTACTTATAAGCTAATTAAATAGATTTTGAGCAAGGGAATAGAACACACAGCATGGCAAATGTCGTTTTTCTCCTAATAACATTACCTAAACTGTAAAATTAAATTAAAAACAAGCAACCATTTGAAAATTTCATCAAATCAATGCATTTAAATTATAAAAATATAAATTTTTTTAATTTTTCGATATGTTAAGTGACATTTCACGTTGATGGAATCATATATTTCATGCATATGCTGCGGCAACCAGACAAATATCATGAGACAGCCCTTCATAAACATCTAAAACATTTTCAATAAACCTAAAATTCTGACACATCAAGAGTTATCACAAGACGCGGAATCTTAACAGGTCAACACATGGTTTCATCTGAAATCATCTCAAGTGGAAATAACGTTCATGCTCATACCGAGCTCATAACAACTGGTGGGAAGAGACTTTTTTTCATGGGATATTTTAAATAAATCCTGCTAATTTGTTCTTTCCACAAACTATTTCCTGTTTAACGTAAATGATGGACAAATGAAACATTTTCATGCATTCCAGCAATTAAGCATAAACCCAGCAACAATATCACCACCAGAACAGTATAAATATCCTCTTTCATGTAAACAGCTTTTACAACATCTTACACAGATTATTATTAAAGGCACTGGAAAGCACGGGTAGAAAAATAAATGTAGAAATATGTGTGAGGAACATAACTATATCATACAATATGCTTCATAAGACCTTTGGCATAGAAAATACTTCATCAATACTTGCGAACCTGGCATGTGTAGGAAAAGGAGGGGGGTGTAAAGCTAGACTTCAAAACGTTGCCCGAGCTTCCATAAAAGTGACAATGTGAGGCAGGGTGACATCAAAGGCACTCCACAGCAGCCGCCTAACGTTCCCCAAACATATTGGGAACATTTCAGCCTGTGGTTCAGCAGTAGCAGCATTGTAGGAACGTTGCACGAGTGTTGTCGCAAGGTTTTTGCGAGGCTGTTTGAAGGGGCTGCGCGACTGATGCACCGCAGTCACTGCCTGCTCTTAAGCCGCAGCTGCCAAAGTCATTTCGGCAGGGCTTCAGGGGGTCCCATTGTACACCCTTACACCCCTTGTCCATCTGGATCCCGTTGCACACCTGCACAAACAGACACCTACCTAAATCGTCCTTCAATTTAACACTTTGATCCAGCATATGTTTAAGTTGACTTGGACCAATCGGTTTAGCCCTTATATACACATTTTTCTCATATTACCAGCTACACACACACTTTGAAAAACACGCACAGCTTAGCGTCACCGGCCGCTAATTGTCTTAATGTTGGCGAATGGTCCCAATGATGGCGTGATTGAAACATATCCTGCTGAGGAGGATCTCAGAGTACACAGCGTTCACTGGTCCCTTTACTTGGTAGGACACGTCAGGTTGACATGATGGATCTTCGTGCTCTTGAGGGCCCGTTTGTTCATCGGCCAGACTCCCGCTTTTTCCACCCACCCTCAAAATCTTCAGCTTTCTTTGGGAAGCAGCAGTTGGAAAGGGAAGCTTATAGACCTGCAAACAGCGTAATATGATCTTCAAGGTCACGCATCTCAGTCACATTTGAGCTCTTTAGAATCTTCCAATTGATTTTCCGGCTACATTGGTTCCAGGAGGATTTCTTTCAGGTATTTTTTCGAGATAGGGAATTTAATAAAGTCTTTATTCAAGGTATAAGGCATGCAGGAAACAAACTATACATTTAAGAGGTGGATTACAATCATACAAACTTTTATTTAAAGCCTTTTATCTTAAATATCCTGTAGCACCTAGGGTTAAGGAAACTCATCACACAATTTTATTTGGAATATATCATGCGAATGAGTTTATTCAAAAAAGATGTAAAAAAAGTGTAGCTTCTGCTTAAATTTTCCAGAAACACTAGATCACGTTTTTTTTTTTTCTTGTGGATTTACTTTTAAATTCTGGTTTGACATCCATACTTAGCTTTCATTAAAGATGATTTCAGTCCCCCCTATTGTTCTAGAGGATATTTTATTTTATTTTACAAAGGTGATTTACATTTTTCTTTCTCTGATGTTGTGAACTTTATTTTACTAATAGGCAAATATCATATTCATTGTTGTAAGTGGGGAAAGTGCAGACCCTCTTTTAGATGTTTTCTTCCTGAGGTAGAGAAATTGGCTCAAAGCTTCAAATACTACAACCAAAGTAAAATAACTGAAGCTCTCTGTACTTCATTTTCAGAATATTTATTGTTATAATGGTTTGTTTTTCGTTTGATGTAGGTCTTTTGTACTGCTCCTTGCTCCTTGTTGCAGTTGTAACAATTTTAATTTATTTAATTTATTTTAATGGTAAACATGCCTTGCGTTGATTGTTCCCTGTTTTGTGATGTAAACTTTTTGCAACAATTAAAAAAAAAACTTTTATTTAAAGTTAATAATAATAACAATAATAATAATAATAATAATAATAATAATAATAATAATAATAATAATATGAAGTTAATATTATAATAATAATAATAATTATTATTATTATTATAAATATTGAAAATCCAATGAAGCATAGTAATCAACACTTAAATTAAAGCATTGAAAGTTGTTGATTATGTCTATACTCTATGATATAGACAATATACAGACAATATACTTAGCATATTGCAATGCAAATGTATATATGAAGAGTTCAAATGTAAAACAAAAGTTTTATTATTGAAATGTTCTTCTAAAATAAGCATTTTTTCTCAATCTGTTGTCTTTGTGTTCAGTTATTTCATGTTAAAGACCATACAAAAAAACTATTCTTTTCCATACAAGTGAAATTACCGAACATGCAAATAGGAGCCTGGGGAAAATCCTAATTTCAGAAGAAAATCTCTGATGGAACTTAGAGGTGTTTGCATCTGAACTCTCTAGATATACATTTTATTAGTGTAATGCATGTGCAGTAATTTGTGAAAGAGGAATTCCATGCAAACTGTTTAATAGTCTGCTTGCCAATATCTCACTGCTCTAGAAAGGATGACAATAAAATACATAATTCAGAGCCCATGGTACTGTTTATCATTAAATTCTTAATAATTAATTAATTAAATACATATTATTATATGATTGTATATAATTATTATTATTAATGAATATAATAAATAAATTCTTTGATTTTTAAAGCACTTTTACAATGTAGATTGTGTCAAAGCAGCTTAACAGAAGCTCTAGTAAACTGAAACTGTGTCAGTCCAGTTTTCAGAGTTATTAGAGATGCACCGATCGATCGGCTGATAATCACAGTTAATGACTCTATCGGTACTCGCCAATCTGACCGATCACATGAACTAATTGTAAGTGTTTGTTAATGAGTTTACAGGCAGATGCACTGGATTATACTGATAGCATCACATGTGAGGAGGTAAATGATGCTTGGGGGTGTAAACGATTGCTACGTATGCATCACAGCAGCTATAGGTATACAGTTTTACAGTTTATTGGCACAACTTGATCAAGTGATGGTCTCTTAGTTGCAACCCTTATATATCCAGATTTGAGCTGCTGTGGCGTGAGCGGAGCAATCAGCCCCAACTTGTGTCCAACCGTATGACCTCTAAGATCCACGACTCTCAAGTATATCATCTATTATTTTCTGCAAAGCTGCTTCTGTCCACGCTAAATAGTTATAAGAGACATGTTTAAGATTATATGCTGTAGGATTGTATGCAGCATCCTTAGTTTATCATCTTGGGTAAGGAGAAAGCTCCACTTAAGCATCTTACACAGAGGGAAAATATGCTTTATGTAATATTAGCTTCAAGCATTGCAATCGGTACTCTGTATCAGCCGATCACCATGACAAGGAATCGGTACTCGGTATCGGCTGGATAAATCCTGATCAGAGCTTCCCGACTTATTATGGTATTCAATATCAATCTGTAAAATGAGTTGTACTCCGTAGGCAAGGAATGAAAGATTTTGATCATGTAAGCAAATAACGTTATCTCTCTCTTTGTGTGGGAAGAAGCCTTTACCTCACTTCAGTTTTAGATCCTCTTTAAATTGAAAATTCTTATTAGCTCCCTGTTCTAGAAGACACAATAGTTAAGATCTTGTTGCCTCTGAGCACTAAACAACATTGTAAAAGTGCACAAATGACCAAAAAAATCAAGGAATAGTTCCTTTAAAACACCATTTATCAATCCTGATCTCATGTTTCTCTTTTTATGTATTTTTTTTTAATCTAATTTGACAATAAATCCCCTGCAAAGTAGACTCCACACCATATTCTGCCATGATTTCACTTAAATGTTATGGTTATGTTTCATTAAAATTCAGTTTCAGTCTGTAAGATGTATATTGTGTTTTATTCTATTTGTAGTTTGCACGGCGCTCATCTAACCAGCTGCTCATCTAAATCAGGTGTGTTAAATATAAGCAAGTAAACCACGATTGAGAAATGCTGCTTTATAACTTAAGCAAGCACCCTGATGTTCAGTGTCGTGTGGTTAGTCTGGTGCAAATCTGCTGGCCTGTTGTCAGATGTGGTGATATCAGTCCCAGATGCAAGCAGATTTGGTGTTTCTACCACCACTTCACATACTTGGTGTGCCAGCACATCTGTTCCCAACCTGCCCTTTATTGGGTAATAAAAACCTGTCTAATTGCTAATTACTCATTAACTGATCCACAGGGCACTTTTAGGGTCAAATAAAACAGAAATGGCTTCTCTTTTAAAAGATTTATGAGACTGGAAGCCTAAAAAAAGAGTTTTTCTCTTCCCTTTTAGCAGGATTTATGTCCATATATGAATGAGTGTGACTGGTAGAATGATTTCATTCAAAAATCAGATATGGCTTCTGTGCAATAAATTACACACATAATAATATAATTGCAGATACAAATTTACAGAATTAGGCTTAAAAAAAAGTGTTTTTGGCTTTGTAAGTTCTGTGAAACCACTATACCGAATCAGTGGTTCTCTTTCTTGAACAAAGAATATAGTTTATTTTAATTAATACAAGTATCTATGCAAGATGGCTATATATAAACTTTTTAATAGTGTATATATACTGTTAAAATATCGACTCAAACTTTGAGGCCTGAAATATTTTGAAAAAAGTAAAGCCTCATATGCTCACCTCTTATTGTTAATAATAATTAAGTTAAAATAATTATTATGGAAAATATTATCATCATTTAAAAGAGCTAAGTTTTTATCTATTTCAGTTTACCTCATGGAAATGGCAAGCACATCGTCCCTGCAGGAACTCCTTATAACGGCCCATGGTGATGCTGAGCGTGTCAATGACCTCATACCCAAGATGCTTGGCACTTTCCAGAATCTTCTTGTTCGCATTATAGAGTTCTTGCACACCATTCTAGAATCAATGAATGAAGATGATAAGTCTGACACGTTTCTATAACTCAATTATGAAAAGAATCAAGCGAATGTCTGGTCTACAGATTTGTGAACCTTTTATGATCTCCAGTGATTCTTACCAGTGACAGGGAGCGGATACCATCTACGGGCAGATGGAAACCCATTCCTAAAGACTTCACCACCACCATGATGTTTTCAAGACCCTCCCTTAGAGATAAGACATTTACTGTTAATCTTTCTAAACCACATTGGTTGTAATTGGTTGTAATCTAAAAAAAAAATCCTAATTTACTCATCCTTAACAAATCCTGCATTTTTATGTCTTTATTCATTTAGGTAAACACAGGTAAACACAATTGGAGTTATATTAAAGGGGCATTTGAGCCAAACATGAAAAAACTTTGATTCTATTTTATTCTATTCAGAGCAAAAGAAGATATTTTGAAAAATGTGGGAAATCTGTAACCATTGACTTTCGTAGTATTTGTTTTTCAAACTATGGATGTCAATGGTTACATTTTTTCCAACATTTTTCAAAATATCTTTTTTTTGTGTTAAACAAAATAAAACAAATCAAAAGAAGTCAAGGGTGAGTAGATCATAATTAAAAATATATATGAAGTTTTCAAAACTCCTAATGTGTTCATTCATTATAAAAGTTAATCATACAACACCTAGGACTAGGATGAGCAAATTGTCTATAATCTTTTTTTTTTCTGAGTGAATTATTGCTTTAAAAAGGAGGGGGAAAAAAGTGTCCACCAATGGAACATTAAAAAGTGACAACCTAATAATGAACAGGCTGGTTATTTGTTACATTTGCATCCATTCTCACCTCTCCAAAACCTGCCGAATGGTCCTCAAATGGTTCAGGTTCAGCCATTGCACCCCTCCAGCGACCAGCACTGTCTGAGGAGAGTTCTCCAGCGGCTGTGACCTGAAATCAGTTCCATTTAGTTCCATAAATTGTAAAACTCACTAATAAATAGGATGGTTCACCAAAAAAAAAATTAATTCGACCATAATTTCCTCAGGCCTCATTTGTTCAAAACAGATTTGCGTTTCTTTCTTCTGTTGAACACAAAAGAAGATATTTGGAAAAATGCTAAAGGAATCCATTGACTTTGATAGCATTCTTCAAAATATCTTCTTTTGTGTTTAAATAAAGGTTTAAAAAGCACATAATGGAGAACAAACGATGAGGTAATTTTCATTTTCTGAGTGAACTATACTTTCAGGATAAATTTAACATTAAGAAAAAAACAAACAAACAAACAAGCAAGCAAACATTCTCATTCGGCTCGGCTAGTCTAATGTGGATGCAGTTTAGTTTAGCAAGTGTCAACATTGCAAAATATATAAGTTGATAAACAATGTAAATTTTTCTATAAGCAGCTCAACAGAAGGCACGTGTCATTGTTTAACTTAAGTCAGTTCAATGTAAATTTAATTCAGTTTATTAAAATGCACAGCAGCATACTGAAATCATCTGATTAATATTCAATTATCCATGTTAGCAAAATTACATAATTTTTTTTAGTAAAGGGTTTGGTAAATATCATATAACAATAACTTTGTTTTGGGCTACAGGCTTTACACTTTCATGTGTCAAGAGTATTTAGCAATTTATTTAGTTTTACATTTTAGACAGGATTTTATTTACTATAGTAGCCGGCCTATTTTAATTTATTAATCGATGTAAGGAATTTAAATAAATTTTGCATCAAAAAACCATACTGATATCGGTAAAGGTGTCTGCAACTTTTGCAAAACATCAAATCACCGGCATACTAGCAGTCAAAACGTGCATGATGCATAAATGATCATTCCTTTATAAAAAGAAACAAACCATCAGACAAAAAAAAAAAGTTGAATATTGTGCATGTCTATTAACAACCAGAAATTGTACTAAAGCTGGATCAGTACCTTAAAATAGTACACACTTGTATCTAAAAAATCCATATAATAAATGTTCTCTTTGGTCCCCTAAGGAAGAAACACCCCGTTTTTGTACTTTTATTTCAGAGTGCAGATTGTTTTATTTATATATATTTTTAAACTTATACTGTATGTATAAAAACAAATATTATTATTTATTTAAAATAAATAATATTAATTATTATAAATTATAAATGTGTATATATAAACTTTTTTTAAACCATTTTCCCAAGCAAATTTCCGTGTCAAATCATCAGTAAATTGAGTAAATCCAGCTAACTGAGTAATCCACAGACCCCAGAATAGAATGAGTTGAAAGGTAATTCAGTTCAATAAGTGTTTATATAGCAAAATATGTCATAAAATTAAATGTATTAAGCTACAAGAAGCTAAACAGAAGTCAATAGTGTTGTTATTTGGCTTTAATCAGTTTATTGTGGATTCTACTTATTTCAATAATATTACAGTAGCAAAAAACATCAATTATAGAACAAAGTCAATTCAATAAAAGCAGCATTATTGATATTTAATAGTTTTTTTTTACTCAAACTGCATCAGCTGACAAAAATGAAGCATAAAAAAAACATAAAACATAACTGCTTTTTAATTTTGTTACACAAAAACGTAATGCGGCAGAACATTTTAACAGCTCCCAAACACATGCATCCCACTAACAAACCCGCAATCACATCTGTGCTGCATATCTCAGCCCTTGGCCACATCAGTAGCAGTGTGAGGTCAGCGGCGCGCTGAGCCAGCAGCGGTTACCATCCCTGGTGAGATACTCTGATCTGACACACAGCCTGCCGACCACATACAGCCCACATCCCACCATCAAACCCGCTGCCAAAGTCATTCAGTGTGTTAACAAGGCCTCTGCCACTTTAGACAGACACCAAACCCGCACATTCACAGCTTAATGGGTCTAACGGAGACAAACAACATTCAACATGTACATACAGACCTTTCTAGAAGCTGCTGCAGAGCTCTTTGGAAGGTGGGTCTGTGGCTCTTTGGCAGCCAGAACTGTGGGTAGTAGGAGTAGCTGACGATAGTTCGGCCTTGGTTCAGGTTGTGGTAGACGATGGTGTTGTGGGCTTTGTCCCAGTCCTCCAGCGTGGTGTTCACCCTCTCCATCAAGTAGTACATCATCCCTCGATTGGTGGAGTCCCCGATAAACAGGACCTGGGGGAAAGAATGAATGCATGTTAGGTGCTGTAAAAACTGGACTGGTTTCTTTAAAAAAAATACTGTATGCCTTTTTAAAAATTCTGGTGTGGTTTTAAAAAATGTTTTGCTTGAATACAAATAAATTCTTAATCTGTTTTTGATAATTGTTAAGCTTTTCAGGACCATTTTGTCCACAAAGTTTTCATGAAATAATTGTATTGTGCAAAGCAATATTTATATACAATCTGTGCAACCCTCAAAAAGGCTGTTTCATAAAAAAAGACTATCAAAAAGCATTCAATAATTAATTAATGATAGAACAATAGATAGAATGATAGAACAATAAATAGATTGATAGAACAACAGACAGACTGATAGAACAAAAAATAGATTGATAGAACAATAGATAGAACGATAAATAGAATGATAGAACAATAGATAGAATGATAGAACGATACATAGATCGATAAAACAATAGATAGAATGATAAATAGAATGATAGAACAATAGATAGAATGATAAAACAATAAATAGATTGATAGAACAATAGATAGAATGATAGAACGATACATAGATCGATAAAACAATAGATAGAATGATAAATAGAATGATAGAACAATAGATAGAATGATACAACAAAAATAGATTGATAGAACAATAGATAGAATGATAAATAGAATGATAGAACAATAGACAGAATGATAGAACGATAAATAGAATAATAGAACAATAGATAGAATGATAGAACGATACATAGATCGATAAAACAATAGATAGAATGATAAATAGATCGATAGAACAATAGATAGAATGATAAATAGATCGATAGAACAATAAATAGAATGATAAATAGAATGATAGAACAATAGATAGAATGATAAATAGAATGATAGAACAATAGATAGAATGATAAATAGATCGATTGAACAATAGATAGAATGATAGATAGAATAATAGATACAATGATAGAACAATAGATAGAATGATAGAACAATAAATAGATTGATAGAACAATAGATAGAATGATAGAACAAAAAATAGATTGATAGAACAATAGATAGAATGATAAATAGAATGATAGAACAATAGATAGAATGATAGAACAAAAATAGATTGATAGAACAATAGATAGAATGATAAATAGAATGATAGAACAATAGACAGAATGATAGAACGATAAATAGAATAATAGAACAATAGATAGAATGATAGAACGATACATAGATCGATAAAACAATAGATAGAATGATAAATAGATCGATAGAACAATAGATAGAATGATAAATAGATCGATAGAACAATAGATAGAATGATAAATAGAATGATAGAACAATAGATAGAATGATAAATAGATCGATTGAACAATAGATAGAATGATCGATAGAATAATAGATACAATGATAGAACAATAGATAGAATGATAGAACAATAAATAGATTGATAGAACAATAGATAGAACAATAAATAGAATAGAACAATAGAATGATAGAACGATACATAGATCGATAAAACAATAGATAGAATGATAAATAGATCGACAGAACAATAGATAGAATGATAAATAGAATGATAGAACAATAGATAGAATGATAGAACGATAAATAGCTGAGATCACAGTCGCCATAATAAAGCACTTCACAAGAGTCTGATTTTTTCGTCCGTTGTGTGCACATTTGGCAATGCAATTGGCAGGAATGCCAGTCTAAATCACAAGATCTCTTAGCACGGGCACTGGCTCACACTATGGTCTGCGAACATGCTCACAAGATTAAGGACACATACTTTCAGCAAGACGTCAGAAGTTGCACTCGTGTCATTTCAAACCTGAATTGACATTTTTTTGAGTGAAGGATAAAAGAAAACAACATCAACAAGATGTAACATTGTAATTATGGACTGTAAGTAGCTCCAATATTTATTAACAATGTTGACATTTATTTTTACGTATTTCTAATAGTTTTTGATTGAGAATGCTAAAATTTAAGAATTTTGTACATTCCAAGCATTCTTATTCTTATATTTCACAAAATAAAAAAAGGTCAGAATAACAAATGATTTAATTTGTTGGTGCATTTAAAAATAAAAGAGCCATTCCACCAAATATTGATTTCTTACCAGTCTTAAGTTAAAAAGCTGGTATTGTGTTTATTTATTGTGACTAAAAATGATATTAAACATAAATATGGAGAAATATCATCAACAGTTTAAAGAATAAAACCAAAAATAAGCTTTGTTCAATAGCATAACTATAAACCATTACACCTATTTTCAAGTGATATCATAATTTTTTTTATACAAACTATACAATAATCCTCTTTTAACAACTTTTTGCCCGATTTCAAAGCCTTTTTAGCTAATCTCTTTGTTCAACTACAGTTGAAACCAGAAGATACACTGTATAAAAAGGCACATAACCATTTTTTTTGTAAAGAGTCAGATGTTAAACTGTTTTTCTTTTATGTAAGTTAGGATTATCACATTTGTTTATGTTATGCTTAATAGCAGAATAATGAGAGAGATATTTTTGAGAAATTGATAGCTTTTCTTGAAAGTCAAGTTTACATACAATAAGATTATTATACCTCTGGAAAAGCTCAGATGATTGTGTCAAGGTTTTGGAAGTTTCTAATTGGCTAATTGACAACATTTGAGGCACAACTGTAAAATATTATTAAAGGAAAACCTCAAACACACTGCTTTCTTGCGTGACAACGTGGGAAAATCAACAAGCCAGAATCAACAAAAAAAGACAGATTATAATTTGCTAAATTACACTGGGTAAAAGACCAATAGTTGTAGACATGTCCTGTGGTCTGATGGAACTAAGATGGAACTGTTTGGCCATGATGACCAGTGTTACATTTGGAGGACAAAGGGGAAAGCTCACAAGCCTAAGCACACTATTACAAATGTGAAGTATAGGGGCTGCAGCATCATGTTGTGAGGCTGTTTTGCTGCAGGAGGGACTGGTCCACTTCACAGCATAGATGGCATCATGAAGAAAGAACATTATGTAGAAATACTGAAGCAACATCTGAAGACATCAGCCAGGAAATTAAAACTTGGCCACAAATGGGTCTTCCAAACAGACCATGACCCTAAGCATACTGCCAAATTAGTTCAAATGTGCTTTAAGAACAACAGAGTAAATGTTTTGCAGTGGCCATCACAAAGCCTTGATCTCAATCCTATAAAAAATTTGAGGGCAGAGTCGAAAAATCTTGTGCGAGCAAGACAGCCTACAAATCTGACTCAGGTACACCAATACTGTCAGGAAGTATGGTCCAAATTTCCTGCAAACTATTGTGAGAAGCTTTTGGAAGAATACCCAATGCATTTGATCAACGTTTAACAGTTTGAAAGCTAAGCAAAAAAAATAAAAAAAAAAATAAATAAAATATATATATATATATATATATATATATATATATATATATATATATATATATATGAAATGTATGAAAACTTTTGAGTGTCTGTAAATTAATAAAAAATTCTGAAAAAAAATTATAATAATAAAAAATAAAATCTCTAATTATTCTGGCAATTAGCAAATGTAAATCATTTAGGTAATCCTAACGGACCTAAAATAGTAAACATTTAGTATGATTTACCATCAAACATTTTTAAAAAATGGTTATGTTACCTTTTTTTAGAGTGTATGTAAACATCTGGTTTCAACTGTATGTGTTAAAAATATGTTTTGTACATAAAAAGCAACATTATATTTACAGTGACATTGTGAACTCAAAAAGCTGCAGTGCCGTCTCAGAAAATGACTCAAACATGAAATTATACTCATGAGTATAACTCTAGACCTTGACAATCTAAAGCCCTTTTATTCCAAACAATCTTTCCTGAAGAGACCGTTTTTTTCCCCCTGCAGCATGGGCTTGCAGTCAGAGAGCTGCGGTTTGTCTGTAGCTAGAGCCCGGGCCCTTGTGTAATGTGGCCATTTGTTTGTGTCAGAACTGATTTTGTGAGTCTTAAATCGAGACGGGGTGGAAACAGTCGTGCTGTGAAGATGAGCGCTTGGGGAATGTTTGAAGCGGGAACAGACTGGAGGTTTGGCACACAGCTTTGAAAATCTCCTGCTGGGCTTTAAGCAATCATTTAAAAACAACTCAAAACACAAGAGGTGTGCAGATCGCATTAAGCAAAAATGGAAGAAAAAGATACGATGAAATAAAATGGAGGCGCAAGCACAAGAGAGAGTGTGTGTGTGTGTGTGTTTTTTCTTCTTCTCTAAAGTAATTTTCCCTCTCATCTCAGAAAGAAAATCTACAGCATACTTACAAGGGCATATAAAAGCAGCAGTGGAATTGAATCATGTGGTTGCTGTAGATGAAGCTCAGCACCTGCTCTCTGATAAACATCTGCCACTGGAACTTCAAGGCTATTGAAGCTGCTTGCCTTCCACATTTATTTATTCTTAAGGATTATATATGATATACATATGGCAAAGCTGTCAGCTGCACACGGTATAATCATTGAAAGCATTTTAGCATGATGTGCAGGAAAAGGCTAGATCAAACAGTCAGAAAATGATATAATGAAATTACTATAGTACAGGGGTGTTCAAACTCGGTCCTGCTAAGTTAGGTCTAACTTGCTTCAACATACCAGCCAGGAAGTTTCTAGTATTCCTAGTAAGAGCTTGATTAGCTGGTTCAGGTGTGGTTAATTAGGGTCGGAGCTAATATCTCTTGGACACTGGCCCCTTCAGGACAGAGTTTGGACACCCCTGCTATACACTACACTAACCGGCCACTTTATTAGGTACACCGTACTAGTACTATGTTAATCCTCCTTTTGCTTAGAACTGCCTTAATCCTTCATGGCATAGATTTAACAAAATACTGGAAATATTCCTCAGAGATTTTGGTCTATATTGACATGATAGCGTCACGCAGTTGCTGCAGATTTGTCGGCTGCACATCCATAATGTGAATCTCCCGTTCCACCACATCCCAAAGGTGCTCTATTGGATTGAGTTCTGGTGCTGGTGGAGGTTATTTGAGTAGAGTGAACTCATTGTCATGTTCAAGAAACCAGTCTGAGATGATTTGCGCTTTATGACATGGTGCGTTCACCTGCTGGACATCAGAAGATGGGTACACTGTGGTCATAAAGGGATGGACATCGTCAGCAAAAATACTCATGTAGGATGTGGCGTTGACACGATGCTCAGTTGGTACTAATGGGCCCAAAGTGTGCCAAGAAAATACCCCCCACGCCATTAGCTTGACCACCACCAGCAGCTTGAACCACTGTTACAAAGCAGGGTGGATCCATGCTTTCATGTTGTTGATGCCAAATTCTGACCCTACTATCTGAATGTCACAGCAGAAATCAAGACTCATTTTTCCAATCTTCTATTGTCCAATTTTGGTGATCCTGTGCCAATTGTAGCCTCAGTTTCCTGTTTTAGCTGACAGGAGTGACACCTGGTGTGGTCTTCTGCTGCTTTAGCCCATTTGCCTCATGGTTTGAAGTTTTGAGAGATGCGCTTCTACATACCTCGGTTGAAACGAGTGGTTATTTAAGTTACTGTTGCCTTTCTATCAGCTAGCCATTCTCCTCTGACCTCTGGCATCAACAAGGCATTTGCGCCCACAGAACTGCCGCATTCTTTGTAAAGCCTAGAGATGGCTGATTAGAAATTTGCTTTAATGAGCAGTTGGTCAGGTGTGCCTAACTACAGCATACTGTATAAGGGGTAAAAAGTACATATGTAGAATAAGTTGATTAAAGCCAAAAGTACTGGTAAAAGTATATAATAACTTCTATCAATTTAAGCACAAATACACAGTGATGACGTATTTGTGCACATTTGGACACTTGTAATGCTGTTAAAAAGTTGATCTTCACTGTCAAAAACAAAGTAGCACAATTGATCTCAATGCTGAGAATAATAAATGTTATCTATATCCGCATATTTATTTATGCATGCTTTATTTTTCCAGGAAAGTCGATTGAGATTAACTGAAATCTCTCCTTCGAGGGAGTCCCGGCCCACATGACTGCACATAAAGATTTATTTTTAAGGGATAGTTCACCCAAAAATTTATAATACCTCATCATTTACTCTCCCTTGTGTGGTTCTAAACCTTTATGAGTTTCTTGATTCTGTTGAACACAAAAGAAGAGGTGTTGAGAATGTTGGTTGCTGGCACCAATCAACTCCCACAGTAAGAAAAACAAATACTATGGAAGTCAATGGGTCCCAGCAACCACCATTTTTCAAAATATCTTCTTTTGTGTTCAACAGAAGAAAGAAACTCAAACAGGTTTGGAACAAGTAAAGAGTAAATGATGACAGAAATTTTGGGTGAACTATCTCTTTAGAATTAATAGTAATTTAAATCTCTGATTTAAACATTACACTTAAGCCCTGTTTAGATCATAGTCGCCATAAAGCACTTCACAAGAGTCTAATAATCCTAGATTTTTGTTGGTTTTGGGTCCCATTAAACTCTTTTTTTTTTTTAAACAATAGCATAGCAATAGTATAATTAGAATAATTTCTGAGAATCACCGAATAATATAGCTGCTTAAAATTCAGCTCTTCCTACATAAGATTCAATTTGACATTAAAATAGTGTTATTCTATTTTTTATTTAACAAATGTATACTTAGACTTCTTTCAAAACCTGCCAAAATCAGTCTAACCCCATATTGTGACTTGTTATATAATTTCTGATTTTCAGTGCTTGCGGTTGCTCACCTTGCGTTCCATCATGCAGGACTGCAGCTGAGGTTGATCCAGCAGTGGGTGATAACAATTGTCCGGCTGCCAGGAAACCTCTCTCCAATCACAAGTCCTGTTGTCTGAACAGCTCAGGCACGGGACGACCCAGCGGCCTGACGGAGACGGAAAATATTTAGTGATAGCTTCTTCACAGTGCATTTTGCTAGATTTCCATGACCGCATTTTCTCAGATTACAGTGCTCATGTGATTCACAGTGAAGTGGAGTTTTGAAGTGTTCAACAGCCGAACGGTAAACATATCAAATGCTCACCATAAAATGTTGAATCAGATGGGGAAACATTTCATATTAACATTCCAACTAGACAGGATTACATCACCATTAGCAGATTCAGACAGTAAACAGGGCCCTGATTCCACCTGGTATTTAAATAGATTCAAATGTGTCTCTTGTGAACACTATGGATTTCATCAACACCCTTCCATCTTATTTCAACATGCTCTAACTCACTTTTGCTATAGCGCTCAGAACAATGAACTACACGCCTGAATCCATTTTATGTGACTTACAAGTCAACATGAGGGCAAGGAAATTAAGAAAATTTTATTTAAATTATAATCCATGTGTTTAGCAATTGCACAGCAAAGAATGAATACCTTGTTCTTGTGTACGTTCTCATAATAAACACTATAATAATTTGTTTAGATGATTTTTGTGGCTGTTTAAATGCATTTAGTCTCATGAGCATCTACACTATGAAAGCAGTTCAGTCGAATGCATTTTTGTTTGCCTCTGAAAGTGGTCAAAAACATTTTTAAACCTTTTATTTACTGATGTTCGCTTGTAATCAGCTTGTATTTTCTTTTATTTAAATTCCAGATGTAAGAGGGACATTATAGCAGAATTGTACATTATCTGAACCTGAAATAAAAACATAAATACAGTGAGTTTCCTCCCAAAAATGTCTAAAATGTACTGAGAGTTGATTTCTGTCAGTTGTTCTGTAAAGGAATTCATTTGGTTCTCAGATTTTTGTGCTTTATTATTGCCTAATTGAACCTACAGCTTTAATAGTTTTGTTATGGTAAAAATTGTTATTTAGAAAAAAATAAAACTTTAGAAATAGCAAGTTTAAGTTGTTCTCATTCACATCAACTGATTAAAAACATGAAATGATAAATAAATTCTGCAAATAAATACTACAAATTTATAATACAAATAAATTGTCCCCAGGTTTCTGGTAATCCTGTTGCATTTGCATTAAATTGAACATAAAATGTGTGTGTGGCACTGCCCTTAAGGCCCAAAGCCTTAAGCCTCAGAAGCGAATCAATCCCATTTATGACTCACATTTAAGTTTTACCACTTTGATGGCAAGGAATAGCCGGAGAGAGACAGGAGGAACAATACAAAAAATATGATTTATTAGGAGCAAAATTAAAAAGATTACGATCAATAAAAACAGTTCAACTTCCCCAGCCACAATAATACAAACTAGTCATCTTACCCTACCTCAACTCAAACAGGTAAAAAAAAGGAGCACATCAAAGAAAGGAGAATGCCAGGAAGCCAAAAAACCCAAAATCAACAGGACACCGCATGCCCGTCAAAATACGAGTCCTTAAATAGTCTGACTGCTCGCACTTCATTGATCTACCAATCACACGCTGACCAAACCCAAAGTTCCTCACCTTGCCACATTCGCTTTACACATTTAAGGCTCTGACTCGGAAGTGACATCATTTGACGAGGAAGAAGCTGACAGTGATCAAGGATGCATTCTATCATTGAATTGTATGATTTTCTGCTTGTTTTGTATGACTTTTTGGAGGATGACAAGTTTAAGTCAGGCCCTGTCACATTTTTTGTGAGTGAAAATGTACGAATGTCCCAAATAGTGATTTTAAAACGTCACATTCTCAAGTTTTTACTTCATTTTAAGGAAAGAAAGAAGATGAGCTCATACACACAGTCTATATGACTCCATCAAACACAAAGTAGTTCTCGCTGACTTTGATGCACTGTTCTGCTGATTCCTTCCTTTTTACTTTTATAGCGCTGACTGCAAACCTCCTCTGAACTCTAACCTGGCGGTTTTAAATCTAAAAGGTCTAGCAGCTGAACATACATTCACAGAATGTCCCTGCAGAAGGACAACTCACTCCAAAAAAACCTGTATGAAGTGATTATATTCCCTCATAAAGTCAGCATGGAAGTCCTAACCTTATAATCGAGCAATGATTCAACTCAGGCGATGAATCAGAACTTTATCACACAGTAAAAGCAGACACATAAATTACCAACCTTCAGTTCTCTACCAAACCTTTCCTATTCTCCAGTGTAGCAGCTAATAAACCGTGAATCTCAAGCTAATATAGCCAAACACATGATGAACTACTTTGTAACTAAAATATACAGTTTTAAGGCCAACATGATCCTGTGCACAGAAAGAAAAATGGGCGGTAAATATATCATCCGACCATAAAACAGACACTTTGCAATGGCCTTGCATGAAAAACAGGACTTTAAATCTTACAGCAACTTTCAAGTTCAAATTTCAGATGTTTAATTACAAGCCGGTGATCAAAACCTGAAGCAAACATACCAGGTTCATCTCCTGAGAGGCAAGGCCGAAGTGAAGCCTGGGCCTCTCCTGAAGATCTCACTCCTGGAATGGGCTCCAAACCGCAGGGCTGGTCTGGCCGGACGACTAGGCCGCAGTCCTGCTCCGACAGGGTGAGAAAAGAAGAGATACAGGTTGGAGTCTGGTAAGTTCATGGTGGCACTCTTATGTAAAAAAAAAAAAACTTTTCAAGAAAATAAAATCTGATATAGATAGAGTTGTTGCAAAGTTTCCATAGCCTTTTCACCCCATTCGCTTTCATGTGGCCGCGTACATGAGGTTAAATTAAAGCATGCGCGCCGCTTGACGCCTGCCCTGCACCCTTGCCCCCTTGTTAGGGGCTAAGGGTCAAACAAACCTAACAGGCTAAATGACAGAACCGAAGCCGCGCCGCCGACCCTCAAGGTCCCTCACGGGAGCCATCGGGTCTGGCTCGACTTCTGAAGAGCGGCTCTCCATTCACTTTTTTCTTTTGCCCCCTTCCTTAACACTTTGCACAGGGGCTTCTCGAGGCCACGTAACATTCCCCAAGTTCCCGCCGCTGTTCTCGACAAAGTGCCACAAGACAACTTAACAGGGATTTTCTTGTTCGTACCTGTGCACAGTGTGTGCGTGCAAACAAGAGCGGCCTTTTGATTCTGAGCAGGCCCGCATAAATCAGCAGGCTCGCGGAAACCGCCTAGCACTTGATGCATCAGAGCCGAAAAGTTAGCATCCCTCCGGAAAGGAAAATGCGTATTATTAATTCACATCGGGAGGGCAAAGAAACATGAAAGGGGAATAAACATGTCATTTTTCCATTCCCCTGACAAGAAAACGATAAAGACTTTAGTCAAAGGTCAGGTGCTTTCATTTTGTTGTGCCAATTGTTGAGTAAAGGATTTTTGAGATGCATCTTTCTGTTTTTATATCACCAGAGAACAATGAATCAAGAGCATCTGGTTAATGAGGATTTCACAAAACTAAAACCAATAAGAGAACACGAGGGGAAGAGACTTTGAAAACAATATGAAGCTATAAATTGGGATTTGACAGCATTTTACAAGACAAACCTTTTGGTGATATTTAATACCTAAAGACTCCCCACAATCCTACATAAATAAACTGTGTGTGCAACATGTGGGCTGGAGGCATGAATGAAACCCAAGGTATATAATACATTTCATTACTATATTAAACTATATGTCACACCACATTTTGTTAACACCTGAAAATTATAGATGATAAACGCACATTAAATGTAGTATTTCAACAATTTAAAGGTCAGGTTGAGACAAAAACACCTGTGTCCCACCTGTGTTAAAGCCGTTAAATGGGTTAAAACAGAAAACTTTTATCTTTTAAAATATTTTAAGTTGATAAAATATTTTATGTTGTATTTATGTTTTATGTTTGTATTTATGTTGTATTTTATTGTACCATATTGTCATTATTTTAATTATCAATTTCTTTACACTTTAGGTCAAATCTAGTGCTCTAAAGAATTGTATTATTATATGCACATACTAAATTGTTTAAATACAGAGAAACAGATAATCGGATGGATGGATGGATAGATAGATAGATAGATAGATAGATAGATAGATAGATAGATAGATAGATAGATAGATAGATAGATAGATAGATAGATGGATAGATGGATAGATGGATAGATGGATGGATGGATGGATGGATGGATGGATGGATGGATGGATGGATGGATGGATCAGACAGACAGACAGACAGACAGACTGATAGATAGATAGATAGATAGATAGATAGATAGATAGATAGATAGATAGATAGATAGATAGATAGATAGATAGATAGATGATAGATAGATAGATAGATAGATAGATAGATAGATAGATAGATAGATAGATAGATAGATAGATAGATAGATAGATAGATAGATAGATAGATAGATAGATAGATAGATAGATAGATAGATAGATAGATAGATAGATAGATAGATAGATAGATAGATAGATAGATAGATAGATAGATATCCATTCCAAGTCATCTTTCTTTCTGTCAAGTTTCATTTTGACTTTCACTCGCTTCTCTTTCATCCTCTACTGAGGGACGCATGATCCCCCTGGAATGGTTTTGCATGTTTGATCCCTGACAGAAAGCTGTTTAATCTCCTGCTTGTAAATTTGATGTCTTTCATTGTACTACAGCTGAGGGCTTTGTCTCCACTGGCGGCTTATTAAAGCAGCCCTCTTAAGTATGTGTCCTTCCTCTCAGAAAGGCTTAAGACTTGCGCTTGAAACACACTTTTAAAGATAAAAACTAAGCAGAGGGTTGTTGTGGAAGCTGAAGAGGGGTTTCGAGAGCTGCTAGTATTCTACTTGACCGTGGTGGTTGCTGAGAGCTGGGTCGGATGTACAACAATAATCCTGGCTTTTCTATCAGCGCAGGTTACTGGCTTTGATCAGGAGAGATTACTCTAGGCCTCTGCTCCCTGTAACCGACACGAGTGGCTCGGACAAGCCTTCAGAGCTTAAACGTTCACACACGTTCACTCAATAACGTGCATGGAAATGTTTAGTATGGATCAGACTTAAATCCATATTTTCCTTTCAAGATCTGGAAAAAGTCATTTAATAAAGACATTTTTTTCCCCTCTGGAGAAAGTCTTATTTTGGCTAGAATAAAAGCAGTTTTTAATTTTTTTTTAAACCATTTTAAGGTCAACATTATTAGCTCCTTTAAGCCATGTTTTTCAATAGTCTACAGAACAAACTATTGATATACAATAACTTGCCTAATTACCCTAAACTGCCCTAATTAACATAGTTAAGCATTTTAATGTCACTTTGAGCTGTATAAAAGTTATAGAAGTTATTAAAACTATTTTGTTTAAAAATGTGTTGAAAAAATGTTCTCTCTGTTAAAATAATTTGAGGGTTAAAAAATAAACGGGTGCAAATAATTCTGACTTCAACAGTATGTTTAAATGAACTACATGCTTGGCCTTATTAAAATATGTAAAATAATAAGTATAAACATTTCTAATTACAATTAATTATTCATATGAGGCTACACTAAAAACCTAAATTTCAGTGCAGCAATAATAAATTACATTATTTATTATTTAAATAATGTAAATAATTTTGCATTATTTATTTTTTTAATAATTATTGCAGTCTGATTTATTACTATGAATTTATCATCCAAGTTTGTTATTCTGTTTTTGGTTGTATTGCTACAAGTATAAAACAATTACCAATACAACCAAAAACAGAATAACAAACTTGGATATTAAATTGATAGAAATAAATCAGACTGCAATAATCATTAAAAAAATAAATAATGCAAAATTACAGATTGCATAAATGTGCAACATCAAATGATTCTTGTTCTGAATAAGCCTTTTTGAGGTTTAAACGTTTGTTACACTGAATTACATTTAAGTGGATGTCTTCTTTAAATCCTGATCAAAAAATATCTATCTATAAATGCTTCCCTTGCGTATAACATTTTCCTTGCTTAGTCTGAAAATATGAAATGTTGTCAGATGGGAACTTGATTTGACAGATGTTTTATTACAGTTTGGTTTATGATGTCCAAGTGCCCAGCCAACAAAGACTTTAAAATTAGTAGATAAGCAAGAGCAATTGTAGCAAGCTTTCTTCAACATTATTCAATGCAAAAAAAAAAAAAAAAAAAAAACCTTCCCAAAAAAAACAAAAAAAAAAACGAAAGTGTAATTAAATTGGGTGCATTGTCAGAAGTGCCATACAGATGTCCCATCTGCTCATTGAAATACAGCTTTTGTTATGAAAGACTGAAGTGGCTTTACTGGGAGTGTTTAATGTAATCCTGCAGATTGTGGATTGTAATCCTATATAGAACTGTCATGCTGTTGGCCAATCCCTCACACTTTAAGACAGGCTATCAGGTTTCTTTTCATTAGAATATAGTGAAAAACAGAAGAAGTATAAGCTGCAGGCATCAAAAAGTTTCATTTAAATGATAATAAAAGAGGTCTCCTTTCATCAGTTAAGATAACAGAAAGAGAGGTTCCATTTAACTTCGAGAGTTCTAGCATTCAATGTTGACAAGGGAGAGATCACAAACCACAAGCGAGAATGTTCCGAATGGAGAAATAAAATGAAATTAAATAAGAAATTACATTTTAAAGTAGCTTAAAAGAATCTTCACTAATTTATCTCTGGGATGATCCAACAACAGACCAAAACATATTTATTCATTTAAAAGCAGAAACAAGAAGCAATATAAAAAACTTCTTACATGACTGTTTGTCAAACTGTCTCAGGCTCTGTTCTGAAGTTCTTTTGCCTCCAAACATAATTATACAGATAAACATACATAAAAAACACACATGGATGCAATCATCCAAAGCAGATTCCAACCAAAAAAGTTCATATTAGCAGAATAGACATGCTCTTATAAGGTCAGTTATCAGACGAGACGCTTTGCTCCGCATCTGGTCTCTGTTTTAATACAGTAGATCTCTAGAGTTGAATGCGCAGCTACAGTCTGCTGTTCACCAAACACACACACGCAAGTTTGTACATCTTAGTGGAGATCTGACATAAATGACTGTTTATATTGACCTAACCTTCTCACATAAACCTTTCTAAACATTTTCAGAAAAAAAAAAACATGTAATAGTTATTTAAATAATTTATAAATTCAGAATTCTGACATTTCCCCAGAATTGTAATTTTACCATACTTTTTTATTTTAATTTTGCAACTGTATGGAATTCTAACTTAACTTCTTGCAAGTCTGGGTTTATACTATTTTCACTTTACCTTTCTCACTCAAACAAGTCAGCATTGCAAGATGCAAAGACGTCATGTACATTTATGAGAAAAACTACTAATACTAGACTGTAAAAAATTGAATGACAAAAAGTCAAGATAACAAATTTCTTTCAAGTTATACAAAATTTTACTTAATATTTTAATAATGTTTATTAATATTTTAGTCAGATTGATTAATGTAAGTTTTGTATTGTAACTTAACCCTACCCCTAACACCAACACACATTGACCCTAAACCCTAACCCTAAAGCCTTTCACTAAGTAACCCTAACACTAAATAACCCTAGACTCTAAACCATAAACCTCAGACTAAATAAACCTA